AGTGTATAGTGATTGCAGCATTCAAAACAGCATTCAGTGCAGCATTTCCACCACCCACATACCTTCATGTCCTGCAGTAAGAAAGTTTAAAGAAACTGCAGCTGAAATAACACGTATACGTCCTCTGACTCCTCTTTTCCTGTTGCTTCCCCCTGTGCAACATTATAGACTATGATGAAAACCTGTCTATATTATGCAAATCAAGATAGCTGGCATCTATCTGCAAAACTGACCGCATTTCTAAAACTGAAATAAAACTCTGCACCACATAGCCTCCCTGAAGTCTGGAACTCAAGTCCATACTAACTGACTGGAAAATACATTAAGTAAATATTTTAAATTTCCTTTTGAACCATAAATGTATAAACCTGGATATTTCAAAGAAAATAATAAAATCTTGAATTTCTTAGGAAAAGAAATGTCATTTGCAAAATAACATGTTGTTTGCTTATTTGCTCTAGCTATAAAGCACGTGCTTTAATTTTTTCTGACAGTACTGTGTGTGTTCAGAAACTTCACCTGATCCAGAATGGCAGAACCAAATTATTATTATGACAAGTTAGAGAGAGGCTGCTTTACTGTATATTAGTGCAGTGTATATTAGTACTAATTATTAGTATATTCCAACTATCATTTAAACCTATCTTGGTCAAGTGATCTCTTCCCAATTTAATATATATATATATATATATAATATATATAATATATATATATATATATATAAAATTAAAAGATAAAAAGAAATAGAAAATCAGAAAATAGAAAATTAGAAAAGGAAAAAGGAATAACTGTAAAAATGCTGAAAAAACAAAAGGAAAAAAGTAAAGAAAATAGAAAAAGAATGACTTTCAAGTTTCATTGGTACAGATAAATATATAAGAATACAACAAACTCCTATTCCAAATTAACATTTGTCTACTTTATTTTGATAATCCCATACAGTACTATTCATCAGATCCCAAAATCAGCTTTTCATTTCTTTCACTTTCTTGCAAAAACTCAAAGAATGATTTCCAAGTATAAACAAAATTTTTCAGTCTTTTTTTCTTCTTCAAGGCTATCAATTTCAACCATGTCTGCCAATTCCACCCACTCCATCATCCATTCTTCCATCAGAGGTATTTGATAGATGCCTTTTATGCTGTTATCATTATAAAAACAAAGTTCCATAAGATGTTTCCATTTGTTTGCCCATTAAGCTGAAAAGAAATTTGATCTTTTTCAAATTGAAGACCACGCTTGACTTTGAGTGGTATGCCAGGAGCCACACTCCAACAAATAAGGAAGGCCAAATTAATAAAAATAACAGCAACAATGATCATTGAAAAAAATAAATGACCTTCCCAATACACAATTAAATGTTACAAGGAATTATATCTACAAAATTTGGCAGCAAAAGGGCAGGAGATTACTGGGAGAATAATGAGTTTTTCTGGGAGAGCAGGACTGTACACAGCCCATATGCTCTGTCCTAAATAGTTGGTTCACCTATGAGCCTACCTCTAGGTACCTCCTTTAAACCCACTAGCACCAATGACCTATCTGACAGGAATAAGCAAGAGAGTTTTATTGGTGACTGCTTCCACATTGCAAAATTCCATGCTAACGGAAGGCTAGTTCCATTATTATTATACTTCTGTTGGGAAGCAAAAACTTTTTATTTCAGTGAAACTTTGACAAAGAAGTTGGTCTATTATCTGAATGCTGCCTATTCTACTCATGTGTAAATAATGTTTTATATTTTAAATCCTCTAATTATCCTTTATAGCCGTGATGGCTATCCAGGAGCCTGGATAGCTCAGCAGACTAATGCATTGTAATTTAACTCCAGCTGTCTGCAATTAGTAAGTTCGAATCTTGCCAGGCTCAAGGTTGACTCAGCCTTCCATCCTTTCTAAGGTAGGTAAATTGAGGACTCAGTTTGTGGGGGCAATAAGATGACTTTGTAAAAATATACAAAAGTATGAAGGCTATTGCTTAATGCATTGTAAGCCGCCCTGAGTCTCCGGAGAAGGGCGGCATATAAATCAAATTAAAAAATAAATAAATGGTGAACCTATGGCATGTGTGCCAGAGATGGCATGCACGTGAGCCATCACTCCAGCTCAGCTCCACCGCACATGTGCACGCCTCCCACCGGCCAGCTGTCTTAAAGTCTCTGCCATGCATGCATGGGGGATTGGGCACACATGGGAGGGCATGCACGCATGTGCGGGGACGGGGAGCATGCAGGGGGGCGCACTTTGGGCACTCGGTCATCACTGCTCTATAGGGCATATGTAGTAGTTGCAGCAATAACTTTGGGAAAACATCCAAGAGGACCTTCTCACCATCTTGTATCTTCCCTATGATAACTTCTGGACCACCCTAGCTTTATGAACCCCATGAAAGTGGTCCAACTTCTTCAACAGACCTCTGGACAGGACATAAAGAAAACAGATGACAAAAAACAAGGGACAGGTGAGGAAGAATGACTTATAGAAATTTAGTCTTTCCTGCACTCACTCATTCCTGAGAAAGTGTTTTCTCCAAAAGAATGTCATTCAGATAAGGAGAAGCCCCAACCCCAGAGTGGGAGGATTCATTTTTAGCTTGTGATCTGCACATTTGCTCAACTTTGTTACATTTCCTATATAGGTAGTTTTCATTTAGCGACTATCTCGTTTAGCGACTGCTTGCAGTTGCAATGCTGATGAGACAGTACTACCTGTAATCCCGCTTTCCATGTAGTTTTCAACAGATCAATTTCTACTGAAGACAATCTCTGGCACAGAATCTCCTACTGAACATACATTTGGAAGGAAGGGGATTGTTTTATGAACAACAGTTCTCTCCTTCTGCCTTTTGTCTCAGCTTTTTATTTCTGATTTTTGAGCCAGCATACATATTAAAGATAGAAAAAACATTAGAAAGGAAAGTGAGGTGGAGCAAGTACTTATTTTCACAACTCTCAAACCTAGATTGTTCTTTATTTAGAATGCCTTTCCAACTGTGCATCTTCCAGAATTTTTGGCCCCAATTTCTGATAATTCTAATAATTCCCAAACAGAACAGACAATATGCTCTTGCTAGGAATTTTGGTACAGTCCAACATTTCTAGAAGAACTCATTTAGAATAAGATGGCTTGATGGGAAGCATGGACCACTAAAAAGCAAAAGGTGTTGGCTTTTGCCTTACAACCAATATTTAAAAACCTTCTGTGGAATATTCACAATAGCAAAGAATACAATTTTACATTTCCAGCTTTAAAAAAAATTGGTCCAGCACTTCAGGTACAAAGCACTAACAGACAGAAGATATGCACCACCTAGTGAAGAGTGTAGTGTAGTGCTGCCCTCCTGTGAACTGGGCATTTTGTACAAAGTGTGCTTCCCTTTCAGCAGAGGAACAAACTGTTGCCAAAATGGCAACCCTAATATGTCTGCTCAGTCTAGTATTTTTTGGACAAAGCCTCTTTCCCAACCCATCTCCACCAACTCAGCGAATGACCAGTTCACCCCACAGAATGGCAGACAACAGTATCAGTTCAAAACACTGTCTGAGAAACAGACTTTCTCTCCTCTTTGTAAAGCACTGCTCCTTGTTCAAATGAAATAGAAATTATATTAGATGCAGTTTCTTGATCGTTTTAAGTCAAAGCTCAAGTGTGCATGAACACACAAAGGAGATTGTATCCTCCGTGGCTAGAGTAACACAAAAAGGAAAGCACCATGGGAAATATGCCTCTGCATTAACACCACCCTTTCCCTGCAACTGGAAAAAAAATTGCCAGGCTTCAGGTGAAGAGAGAAAAAGCACTTGTGGCCGACTTTACCTGCACAAACAAAATGCAGGGAGTTGCAAAATTAGGCAAGGGAAAGGGAGAGAGGGATGAACGTGAAACAACGTTGCTGATGCTATTTATCCAGGGCACTGCATAAGCAGATAGGCCCCCAACCCCACCCTAATGGAGAAGCTATCAGTCACCACATATGATGGATGAAAGCACAAAAACTGAAATAGGAAAAATTAATTGCCAGCCAAAGGAAACAGAAGCTAACAAGGGAAAGGAATCAACTGTTGGCCCACATGGAAATCTGACAGCAAGGGATTTATCAGAAACAATAATAATGAAGAGAAACGGAATGAACAGTCACACACATGACAGAAAGGAAAGGCAGAAAAACAGAGCAAATGTGCGAAATACAGGATTTCCTTGTTTCTCTTGGTTTAGCTGCTGTCTGATGTGGAGAGGGAGGGGGAAGAGAGAGAAAGAGAGAGAGAGAGAGAGGGAGGGAGAGAGAGAGAGAGATTCGCTATTCTTCCAAAAGAATACTAAAGAAATACTAAAACCCCACTCTTTGTACCTACTTAACAGAAACAGCACAAAATCTGCTTCTGCAGAGTAGGGAAGAAGCAGAGGGGCCAAAGAGATGGATCTGCCTAATGACCAACATTTTTGTGTGCATGGGATTATTAGCCGCCTCAGCACCCAGACAAGTCCAGCAATTGGACAGGGGAGTTTCGCTCTGGGTCACCCCTCTCTGCAGCGCTAACAAAGAGCAACAATGCCCATCGGCGTACGGTAGACACGCAGAGATAAAGGGGAACGCGAGGCAACTTCTCCCCCGTGGAGGGCTCAGGGCTCAGCCTCCCCCTAAGCCTGGAAGGGGGGGAGCACAAACCCTTCTTTCTCAATCAGGGGCCGTGCCAGCCACACTCCTGACGGTCAGCAAAACCCCGAGTCCGCAGCTCCAAGCGCAGAATAGCGGCAGCGGCCAAGGCAACCTTCTCTTCCCCGCCCTCCACCCCTAGCGAAAACGCACAAGTCGCCCTGCAAGAGCCGCGCATCTTTGGCAATGGGAGGGAAAAAACAAACAAACCCCGATTTGAATGAACGGCCCGACCTGGAACGGAGAGGGCAAGCAGCAGCAGCTGGAGGGGACTCCTTTTGTTCGCTCTTCCCATTCACCTGCAATGGAAAGTTACCCACTGAAAACCCCTCCTGTCCCCATCTCACCTCACGGCCACCTTGACGCTGCAGCTGTCACCCTGGGCGGCCATTCCCTTCTTCTTCTTCTTCTTCTTCTCCTCCTCCTCTTCGTTCCTTCGCCGCCGCCGCCGCCCCGCACCGCAGGAGAGCGCTGCCCCTCAACCACCATGGAGCTCGGTGGGGCCAGGGCCGAGGCGAGGTTGCGACTCGGCTAGGAGCAGGAGGCGCGGAGGCTGCAGGAGGAGGAGGAGGAGAGCATGCTGAGCTCCTTGTCGGGTAGCGCGGGCGCTCGTCCTCTTCAGGAGAGAAAGAGAAGGCAGCCCCGAGCGGGAGAAAGCTTAGGCGGCGTGCCCGCTTCCCATCCCGCCCGCCGCGGCAGCGGGACTGCGGAGGGAAAATGAGCGGCGACCAAGCCAGAAGTCGAGCGGGCGGAGAGGCTTGGTGGGGAAGAGGAGGGAGGCGGAAGGAGGGGCGGCAGGACGCGGAGGCGGTCACGCCCACCCACCCCCCCGTCAACTCAAAAGGTGGGGGAGGGACTTGCGCCGAGTTGGGGCGGTGGGCCGCGTGCGAAGAGGCACGAGGGAAAGAGCGAGAGGGTCTCGCGGGTGGAAGGAAGGGCTTCGGAAGTTGTAGGTCCAGAGGCTTGCAGATTTTATTTTATTTTATTTTTTAAGAGCGCCGCCCGCTTTGGTGTACGATCTCGGTGAAATCGCTTCCGTTGCTTCTAGCCGGCCAGCTCTTGAAAAGAGACATATATATATATATATATATATTTTTCCCGGAAGAGAGTAAAGAGCTTGCAAACGAAATTGCCACAGAACTCGCACGTGAGCATGAATTTTGTAGCGTTTTTCCGCATAGGTGGAAGCTGGGCCTTTTGCGGTGGTTGTAGTAGTAGCAGAACCGAGGGGTCGCTTCATTAACCCGTGGTTCTCTTATTTGAATGACACCATACATTTCAGAAGCCGGGTTTCTCATATTAGGCAGTGTTGGCTAACTGGGTTTGGTGCGTGGTGTGAATATCGCAGGCCCTGCCTTGCCTTTGGTGGGAATTTTCATCGAATGTTGTGGATATTAGGGTTTGTGCAACAGATGAGGCTAAAATATGGCCTATATCAATAAACTGTATTGTGTAATTATAGTCAATATCACACACATGCATGCATATGCATGGATGTAAAGATTCTGTTGCTACAGTACCTCCTTGCTTATAGCTGAAAACCAAAATGTAGCCTATGTTAGTCTATATTAGTTGAAGATTGAGATTCTCCTAGGTCAGGGATCTCCAAACTTGGCAACTCTTAAGACTCCTGAGCTTCAATTAAGCCTGACTAGGTGGCTCAAGTGGCTAAGACACTAAGCTTGTCGATCAGAAAGGTAGGCAGTTCAGTGGTTCAAATCCCTAGTACAGATCTCCTTGCATGAGCAGGGGGTTGGACTAGATGACCTCTAAGGTCCCTTCCAACTCTGTTACCATTAGCCAATTCCCAAATTCTCCAGCCAGCATGGCCATTACGAAGAGTTCGGGGAACTTAAAATTGCTTCTCAAAGTTGTCCAACTGAAAGTTCAACCCTTTGTAATGTGCAAAAAAGTCAGTGAGGTGAGGCTGTTCAGACATTTACAACAAAAACCTCCAAATATGAGACACTGCAACCTGCACGTGTACATCTGTCAGCTATTGTACAGGTCTTACAATCAGGACACTTTGCCTGATGTATTTTTCTTTGTAGATGTCAGTGGAAATAACATTCTAAATCATAAAGTGGAGAGGACATCTTAAAATGCTAACATCTTCCTGTAGCTTCAGTTATATAAAATCACTGACATTGTTCTCTGCCATTTTGAAGCAGGAAACTAAAAAGTTTAGGTTCTGTGTCCTTTTTCATCAATGGATTGCAGAAATCTAGATGAACATTAGATGGCAGCAAAGAGTTAGCATTCTTTGTTGCGATTTTAAGGAGTTTTGCAGTCTAGTTTTGGAAACCAAAAAATACCTTTAAAAAACAAAGACCTGGTTCACACAACACACAGAGGCATAAAATTGATATGGTTCTGCTGGAATGTTCTTAGTACACTTGTTAAACTTCATTTTGTTTCTAATAATTAAATAAGCTATAACTGGCTGCATTTATACAACATACAAGGTCATCATAAAAAAAACAACACACAATATGATAAGGTGTTGTGTAAACCAGCTCTTTATAGTGTAGTCACTGAATATGTGTAATCAGGTCAAAGAAACATTGCAAGATTTTCTCTCCCTCACATCCTGCCCAGTTTTCATGTCACTTTACCTACTGTGACCTTCACTTTCCCATAAAATATAAAGTGCAGGCCTCCACAAACACCTTATCATAAAATAAAATGCAGCTTACATATCGCAATAGCTGAGTTTTCACAAAAAAACCCTCCCACTTATGCTGTGGCTTAGCACGTGGTGTGAACTTTGTCCATTCATTCATAGCCATGATTTTAAGAGTCTTCCTTTACTCTCAGTGACTGGGAAAGGAGCATTCTTTTCACAGTTAGCTGTGATAGGTTACATTGGTTAGATAAGTCACACAAAGATGTAAAGCGAAACAAGACAATCTCCATTTTCAGAGAGAGTGGACTGTATAGCTTAATGAAGTTAACCAACTTTTCTGGGTTCACATAACCATAAACTAATCGTATACGTTGCATCTGTGCAAGCTTCAAGTTTGTTATTGCTCAGTTTATGATTCGGGATGCTGGGCAGGGGTGAAATGCTCCCGGTTTGGACCGGATTGCCCGATCCGGTAGCGATGGAGGCGGGTGGTTCGGAGAACCGGTAGCAAATATCCCTGCACCCCACCCCCATTGCCCAGCTGAACCACGCAATCATCAGAGGCTTTTTTTTATTTTTAAAAGCATTTTTTTCTACAACCTCTTTGGCCGAAAAAATGCTTTTAAAAGTAAAAAGAAAAGCCTCTGATGATCGCGCGGCTCAACTTTAAAGCCTCTGCCGATCAGGCAAGTCAGCTGGGATTGTCAGAGGCTTTAAAAGCATTTTTTTCAGCCGAAGAGGTTGTAGAAAAAGTGGTTTTAAAAGTAAAAAAAAAAAAAAGTTGGTCACACCCACTCAGTCACACACAGAACTGGTAGTAACAAATTTTACATTTCACCTCTGATGCTGGGTGAACAGGGTCCCTGGACAGAAAAGAATTTGGAATAGGGTTCCCTGAGTTCAGCATTATTGTAATAACAGAGGCACACATCGCAATAGCAGGGAGGTGAACAGAGTGCTAAATTATGAAAATAAGAGGGACCAACTTAGGCTGCTTCATCACAGTTCCGTCAGAAATGCATTTATGCTTTCCAGCTTAAGTTTTGGCAACTGTGCCAAAGTCTACATGCCATTTATCTCCTTCATTCATTATGGGGGAAAAGGGTATGGGAAAAAAGGGTGTGATTAAATGTTAAAGACAGGAGGATGGATTTCTGTTTTAGAAGATACTATAAATAATTTGTTCCAAGTAGCTGTATTGATTGAATTAAAACAAATCTGGATGTGTTTCTGTAAGCAACAGCACAGTTGCTTAATCAGTGAACTTCATTTCTTTTCTACAAATACTTAAATCTTTTTTATATTAACATATCGAACCTTGGTCCTCCTATTTAATGGTAATAGAAAATCTCTGAGATGCCCATGGATGTCTTGCGAAGCATGATGAAAAATAAGTAAAGAGCTCAGCTCATTTTTTAAGGAATGCACATAAAATTTGGCAGAGCTTTAATCATTTCATTGTAACTTCCATCTTGACTTTCTTTGACCACACCCTGCATATATTGCTGGTATTGCCAACTAATGTCTATCCTTCTGACAAACATTTTTCTAGGAATTTATCTCTGGAGCTATGTCTCTTGTTTGAGTTAATGATCTTGCCTGTACTTGGTTTAATATGTAATTAGAGTGTTTAGGGTGAGGGTGAATTATTATGTAAAATAATACCATTTGTAATGGGCTGTTAGATAGCCAGTTTGAGGTAGTGATTAAAATATCAGGTTAGAAACTGGGAGACTTGAGAGTTCTAGTTCTGCTTTAGGCATAAAACCAATTGGGTGACCTTGGACCAATCACTCACTCTCAGTTCCAGAAAGAAGACAATGGCAAATTATTTCCAAAATCTTGCCAAGAAAACTTTCAGTTCTGAAAACTTTCAATTCTGAAAACTGTCCAGGTAATTGCCAGGAATCAGCACTGACTCAAAGGCATTAAAACGCTACACACACAGAAACACACACACACCCAAAGGGGCACTGTTCGCTGACATAGACAGTAACATCAGTACTGGATCTGTTGACTTGGATGACTGAGAATCTCTACAGACACACCTGAGATTATTAATTGCATGTCAGCAAGTATCTTCTCAATAAAGATATTCATTACAAAATACAGCGTGGCTTGATATTAATCCTGCTGAAGTATTCTCCATTGTGTCATTAAAAAATTGGAAGCAACTGAATGGCTAAACAATCAACATTAATCAAGTGTAAATTATCCAAGGCGCATCAGACGACATAGCAATGAATGATTAGCTATTGTTTCTGTTTATTCCCCTTTTTGACTGGTATCTGAATTGTCTTTGTGAAAGCCATCTGGCACTTCCTTTTTCAAAAAGGGGGACATATAATAATTGGGGATGAAGACTGAATCTTGCCTTGCAGGCTTTATGTCTACAGCTCATGCATGCACACCAGTGGTGGGATTCAAATTTTTTTACTATCAGTTCTGTGGACGTGGCTTGGTGGGCGTGGCAGGGGAAGGATACTGTAAAATCTCCATTCCCACCCCACTTCAGGGGAAGGTTACTGCAAAATACCCATTTCTTCCTGATCAGCTGGAAGGCAGAGAATAGATGGGGGCGGGGCCAGTCAGAGGTGGTATTTACCGGTTCTCCGAACTATTCAAAATTTCCGCTACCGGTTCTCCAGAACTGGTCAGAACCTGCTGAATACCACCTCTGATGCACACCATGCTGTGGGCCTCTGAGAAATAAAAGCAAAGCCGGATGAGAAGTGATTGGTCAGTTGTATATATGAAAGCAAAAGGAGAACTGTTCTGGGGTCTGAAAATATGCTAGACTTAATCTTAACGTAAATCAAATCGAGCTATGGCTACAGATTGATAATTGGGATTACAACATCATGAATTCCCAATTTAGGATGGGCATATCTGTAGGACACCAGGCTTGGAAAGACTCTTCGAAGTCAACTATACATTGGCTTGTCTTCCAGTGTGTTACAATGATGTGTCTGTTCAAATACATCAAAAACCTGCTTATCTAAATTGCTGTCTATAAGAATCATCTCAAAAGGAAAATGCCTGGCGGCCCCGGGAGAGAAAATTATTTTAAGAAGTCATACATGGAAATTTCATTGTCATTTACCTTGACATAAGAGTGTGACTGTTTATTCAGTGAATTTACAAAGGAATCCATTTCAATCTTTCCCTCGACTCAAAAGACATAGCTCTTATTTGATAGTAATTATTAAAAGCTTCTTGTAGAAATTAGAGTTGAGAAATTGATTCTTACTCTGGCATGCACATCCACCTCTTGTATTGATTTTCTAAGTGTTTTTCTTAATGCATCCAAAATAGTACAACCAGTGTAGGCATCAGTAGATTCAGGGGATTGATGGAACAGGAGCATTTGAAAGAAAACCATACAAAAAAATTGCTTAAAATGTGGTAATTGTAATGGCCCCACAGTCACAGTGGGGTTTTGAATGATTTGTCATAAAAGGATATTACGGTACTTTCCATGGAATGAAGTAGTTAGACAACCATTTTTCATACCACATAGTTTTATCTTATACAGTAGTGTAGAAAATCAAAAGTCAGTCCAAAGAAAAGTAAGACTGACTTTTAGAAATGTATCAAATGTAAGGAGTCATGACAATACAGAGCAATTTGGGTTGAGCCTCACCAAAGACTACTTCCTCTAGAAACAAAAAAAAATATGTTTACATATTGTACTTAAGTCATAGAAACCTATCAGTGATTGTATCACTGTTAATTCATAATTGATATAAGAATATTTGTAGCCCAGGGTTGAGCTGTAACAAGCCATGATGAACTCAACACGACAGCATATACATCATGATACTATAATGCAAATGGCATGATTATGTATTGATGCCACAACTGACAGAAATCCATAAACCATGTCATTTGCATATTCGTAATTTGCCCCAACGTTGAACATCTGTGCCAAGATACAGAACCTCTCCTCCCTATCAGACTGAAATAACCTCTCCCATCTGTCTTGAGGAATGCCTACTTCTGCTAGTATGTTAACCCAGATATTGTCATGGACCAAATTTAATTCTTTACTGACAAATAAAAAGTGGCATAAATCAGATGGGTAACACTGAATATAGTGATGAGCATTTTTAAATGTATTTTCAGACCTTCTTGCTTATCCCCATCTGACCCCAGTCTGTAATGAGCCTTAAAAAAAACCAACCTTGAAACTGCTATTAGAAAAAGCAAGCAGAAATACACTTGCCTGAAAACAAGCAGACTTATGAGCAAGTCCTGCAATTATTTGTAAGGTGCCTGGAGTCACTGAGAGTGAGCTGGGCAACCATATAAATTGACTTAAATAAATATTTGGTCTTCTTTACATTATTTATTCTTAGATTATTCCTGTGTTCTTCTTTAACTTTTTGCCTGGTGAAAAACAATGATGGTATAAAAGAAGAACAGAACTACAATAAGACAAAAGGGCAATAATGGTACAAGCCCAGCAGTGAGGCCTCTGCATGCATTTTAGAAACTGGCCTGTGGCAATAAAACAGCAAAGCAACTCCTGTTACTGAGGTCCCTTCTAGCCAAGTTCTTCCCTTTGTAACTCTAATTTATAATTAAATGCTTTGACATGGAAATGATTCCTTGGACAGCTGGAGAGATGGTTGCATATTGCTCCAGGGTTTCCAGTAGCTCAAGCAGACTGTAATCAGAGTTTGGCCTCCAGAGAGAAAAGGATTTGCTTTAACAACCCAACCCCCTTTTTCATAAGCATCCCTTTATTCATTCTCCTTTTACGAGTTAACAAATAAAAACCCAGAGAGCAGCTAGGCTCTGTTGATTCAATACCTCTCCTGGGATGCATAATTTCTGATTTGAATATCTATTAACCTTGAGAGGAAACCTCTTCTGGAAGACGCTGGCTGCAGGGTTCGGATCCTTAATATATAAAGGAGGTGAAGATGAAGGTGGCAGGTGAAGATGAAGGTGGCAGGTGCACTGGACAGAAAGCTACAGCTAAGCAATAGCTTCGGCTGCCTTGTAAAAGGATTTAGCTATTTTTGGTTGCTTTTATAGCAGAGGTGCTAACTGATGAGAAAAAAAAGGATACTGGCTTTCATAGCCATTCCATTTATGTACAGCAATCAGAAGATTTAAAAAGTTTTAAATTTATCATTGATATCCCATCTTTCATATGCTAAAATTAGCAGATTAAGCTTCTACTATTAAAGCAGAATGTGGTTTTTTAAAAGTTTATAAAAACTGGATAAACCTAATATAACACAATCTGAAACAACAAAATATAAACCAAGAATATGTGGTTCTTTAAAGATCTGAATTCTATAACTTAAAGAGCTGGAATTTAAATTTAGAGATTTCTTAACTCACTATAGTTGGAACTTGAACAACTTTCTAAATATAGATTTGGAAATTACAGCTAACCTTTTAAAGTGTGAATGTTTTAATTTAAATGTCTTTAACTCCTTAAATTTCAATGGAGTCCCAAAATTGCAAACTATTATGAACCCTAGGAATAAAATGAAATAAAAGTCCAAATTCATACATAATCTAAAATGTATAAAGCGTAATTTAAATGTTGAGACACATGCTTCAATATTGAAGTACCTTGTACTGGGGAAAATACTGTACGTATATTTTGTTAATGGGTTTATAACAGCTTGGAGATTTAATATAAATAAGCAGTAAAAATCTTCCCTATGTTGGATTGTATGAATGAATGTCTATATACACCATTTTTCTAAAAAACAAACAAACTGATCGGTATCTCACTGTTTGTAACAGCCGTGTATAATTTTTATGTGTAAACTGCATTCAAATCTTTTGAAGTTTAAAATATATCAATGAAAATTCAAATATATAAAGAAAACCATTGGGGGACTTTCTGTTTATTAAAAGTGTTAGTTTTTAATCATTTTTGTTTTCTTTTCCAGATTCTTCAATATAATTTAAAGGCATTTTTCAGAATCCTTGCCAAACTGTCAATGGGAAGAAATGTTACAATACTTTGGAACTATGTAATAATCCATCTAAATCACAGGCTATAGATGTTATGAGACCTGGATGAGCAAGAGATTCTTTTTTCACCTGTGCAAATTTCTCTAGGAATCCATTCCTAAAATCTCTTCTAAGGCAGCCAAAAAAACCCGCCCCCTTTTCCATCTGCCATCTCTTCTGCTTGCCTATCAGGGTGGAAATCAATCAGGCCACCATGAGCAGATTGTGTAGCGCTTTCATGGTAATCATCCAAAAACACAAAAGTGGCTACCGCTATAGAGCAACACTGCCAAGAAAACAATGGAACGGCCATGTTCTAGGCCCTTTACAGAGATGAAGCTGAGCTCTTCCGTCTCTCCAACAGCATGGCAGCCGTGCCTTCCACATCTGTCAGTTCTGCTTGGAAGGCTGCAACCATCTCATCTCTTGTCAGCTTCAGAAAAGAATCATCTTTAGCTAGGAAACAAAGTCCCTCAGAGGCCAGGGCCTGCATTGAAGAGGGGGAAAAAGATTAGCTGTGTATTGTCCAAGCCTTTGGGAAAAATAAAATTTGCCTTAAGGATTAAATCAAATACCTAACTCAATTTTGTACCTCAGTGATACTTAAAGTTCTGGATTAATAGCAATAGCACTTAGACTTATACTATAACACTTTACAGTGCTTTCCAGCCCTCTCTAAGCGGTTTACAGAGTCAGCTTATTGCCCCCAACAATATGGGTCCTCATTTTACCGATCTCGGAAGGGTGGAAGTCTGAGTCAACCTTGAGCCTGGTGAGATTTGAACTGCCGAATTGCAGGCAGACGGCAGTCAGCAGAAGTAGCCTGCAGTACTGCACTCTAACCACTGTGCCACCATGGCTCATGCATGAGAATGGCCTGTATCTTCTCAGGTATTTCAAAGTATCCTACCGTTGGAAAGTATCTTTGAGATCATCTAAAGGTAGTCCTCACTTAACAAAAGCAGTTAGGATCAGTAACTCAATGGCTAAGCAATGTAGTTGTAAAGCATATCACGTGACATGCCTACTTGCAACAGCAGTGGTGGCAGTTCCGGTTGCCATTGTTAAGCGAATCCCATGCAATCATTAGGCCCAGTCATGACTTCCTGCCCATTGATATTGCTTTTTGGAAGCTAGCATTAAAGATCGCAAATGATGATCACTTGACTGGAAAACTGTGGCTGTCAAAATTGCAAGCCAATTAACAAGAGTTTGAATCACAATCATGACTGCCAGGATACTATGACAGCCACAACTATAAAGAATGGTTGTAAATACATTCAACGCTGTTGTAACCTGCAACGTGATTTAACATCATTGAAAAAGTGGTTGTTAAATGAGGACTATCTACAAATCAAATGTTCCCCCATGCAGGGATTTGCAACTTCAGCATTTACTAATAAGCATTTACTAATACTAATCATTTTTTTTCTGTGGGCACTCTGGCACACATGAAAAATGAAATTCTGTTGCCTCCTCTCAAAAGTGTACACGCATATAATACACATATAGATATGCTATATACCAGTGGTGGATTGCCCCAGGTTCGGACCGGTTCACAAGAACCAGTAGTAAAACTGGCGGGAGGCTCCGCCCACTGACCTGGACGTCATCATAGGCGATCTGCGCATGCGCAGAAGAGCGCGCGTGCGAGTGAAGCAAGCGTGCGAGCGTGGGCACAATGCAAACCAGTAGTAAAGGTAAGTAGAACCCACACCTGCTATATACATACATATGTATACACAGTCTAACATATAAATATATATAAAATTAGTTACTGTCCATTTTGAATAGATAGCAGAAAGAGGAAGTCTGAGAGTTCACAAGGTTGATACTGTATGTTATTAATACTGTAATATTATTCTAAGTCTTAATTTGATCTCTTGAGTTCACTACAATGCCTGTGTTAAAAATGTTAAGCCCCCCCCCCAAAGGCATACTATTATGCATTAATATGATGTGTAAATCAAATTTGCATCTCTACTAGCAAAATTGAGTGGGAAGTGAAAGAAAAAGAGACAACCAATACTGGCTTACAAAAAGGGCAAATTTTACATTAAACCAGTGTTTTTCAAACCTGGCAACTTAAAAATGTGTGGATTTCAACCCCCCAAATTCCCCAGGCAGCATGCCCCTTCAACTCCCAGAATTCCCCCCCCCCCAGTAGTACTTCACAATAACCATGAAAGGCTGAATGTTTTCCTGTGACAAGGAAGAATTCTTTGTTATGGATTAGAAAAAAATTGAGAGCAATGGCAGACTACAACAGTCCTTTTATATCAATTTTAAAAATATAGAAAAGCCTTATGAGACAGAAATATTTCAAAATCCAACTTCTTTTTTTTTTTTACAATCTGAGGCATCTGTACCTCCATTCCCTAAAGGAAGATTTTTTTTGTCATATATTTCAGAAATCAATTAAATGCCACCACAGTAACTCATGAGATTTATAACTAAGGCAGCATATACCCCAGCAGCCATTTTATGGATAAGACCACTCCCCAGGCCAGGCAGAAGGATAAATCAACTCCCAACCCGGTTCTGTTCATTTATTAAAGAATTCAGCAGCACTAAATCAGAAACGGTCAGTTTCAGTTCAAAATAAAATATAGATTTCATTTACTAAAATATATCAGGAATCTTATCGTTTCAGGGTGGTTTTCCCTGGGACTCATAGTGGAGTCCAATCTTGACTTTTAATCAACCTTTTGTAGGGAAACCCAATTCATACAACATAGTTTCCTTAGGTATTTGGAAAGCTTCCAGGAAATTTCAATCAATATCTTGGCTAGGTTGATCCTCCAGGTAATTCCTATAATACCTATTCAGGAGGCTGTGCAGTATTTCAGATTCAGTTCAAGGCAGATGATTCAGAATACATGACTGCAGCACCACATCACATAAGTGCAGCAGAGTCTCTTTTACAGTGGCCACACAATCCAGGGGGAAAAGTTGTTAGGCTTTTAATGAGTCCTAGAGAGGTGCTACATACATGCTCATATTCTGAAACACTCCTTCCAATCCAAACCAGCTCTGAAACCCTGCACAATACTACAGTTTAGCATAAGACTGAGTCATAGAAGAACCCATCTGGAATATGGTCACTTTGATATGGACATGCCTATTCATGTCTGCTCATAATCTTTGTCTAGACTAGTGTTTCTCAACCTCAATAGAATAGAATAGAATAGAATAGAATAGAATAGAATAGAATAGAATAGAATAGAATAGAATAGAATAGAATAGAATAGAATAGAATACAACAGAACACAACAGAATAGAATTCTTTATTTAATTCAGCAACGTTAAGATGTGTGTAATGTCTGGGGAATTCTAGGAGTTGAAGTCCATTCAAATTAAGAAACACTGGTCTAAAGACTGGTCAAGCAAATGGGGAAGAAAAGTCTGGCTCTAAAGTTATGTTCTTGAAAAAAGAAAAACACACCAGCTTCCCCTGCTAACAGCTTATCCTTAATGAAGCAACTTTTGCATATTAAAATTCCATAATTTTAACAGATTATTTCATAAATCCTATGCAATTTCCCCACTCAATGCCTTTGAATATAAGCATGAGCCTGGACTTTTTAATCCAACTCTGTCTGTTCTTGAATAAAACGTATTTGAGGTTTTGTAAGGCATAACAATCTACCTAAAATAATCTACCTTGATTATTTTTAAAAAATAAGCAAGGTAGAGCTGCTTTAAAATTACTGACCTTTTAAGCCAATCCTACCTCATTTATCATTTCATTCACCCTAAACTAGTTCCCAGCTACTGTGATTCATACATAATAGTTTATATTTTAGTCCTTATTCAGAGTCAGGCACTGCAGTTTGTCAGTGTTTAAAGTCTGGGTGAATTTAACTAGTTATGGTTTATTTAATAAGCAATAGATAAGCAAAGTGTGATTTACTGTAATGCACAAACCCAATCATATTCATATTCCCTGTATATCCTGGACATTATACAGACCCCAATTATCAGTATTTGACGTACCTCTTGAAGAAATTGAAGAGTGGCTGGAGTACGGGCTTCTGGATTCTTTGAAATGCTTTCTTCACTGTTACTTGTAGATGGTGAAACTTCACCATGATCTGTATCTTGAGTGACAATGTTCTTAAGAAAAAATGAAACTATCTGAATGGAAATTCTTTGACTTCACTGCCAAAATTTAAGAAAAACCCTGAAAAATGCAAGGTGTAACTATTCCCCCACCCTTTTAAATGTGACATTGCGGTTCAACTTGCTGCATTAGAAACATATGCAAAATATATATGGGAAAAAATACTTTGTTTATACTTCCCAGATATATACATAAATACTCTGAGCTTATGCTTCTTTTACTGTTCAATGCAACAGAAAAATATCTTGTTATAACAATCTAAATTCTTATTTTTAGCTACTCCATCAATATTTTTATTAGTTTTCTCCCATTATCTTTCATAGTTTCATTTTTATATGGTGAAACATTGCTTTTTTGCTACTCAGAAATGAAATTTCCCTAAGTCAGATGAAAAACTGAAAATTATGGGCAGTTCAGAATGTCTGTTTAAGGGGTAATATTACGTTACTCTTAACAGTAAGCAATGAAGTGAACTAAATCTGCAAATAGGAAACTTTAATAGGTATTATAAGGAACATTTTGCTAAAAGAAGCTTTATAGCACCTAAGTTATAGAGAAAGTAATAGTAGGTAATACAATACTATATAAATTGTATTACTTTCTCCTAATTGTGAAAAAGTTACACCTGAGCAAAGTAAAAATATTCTAGCGAGGTAACTACTCACATATCCATTATGGTCAATTGCTGATAGAATTGTAAGTCTTTTTTCTAGTCAAATGTGGATAAGTTAATCAAGTGTGAATAAACTTAAACAATCTGAGTTTACATTTACCTGCCGAGTGGAAAATTGTCGTTCTGAAGAGCACCTGACATTGTTTGCTGATAATTTGCTCATTTTGTCTTGCTGCTTTTCATTTTGAATAGAACATTGCTTGACTGGGGGAAAGTGGGAAACAAAAAAATAATAATGATGTAATGATAATAGGGATACATAGCTGAACTATAAGTAAATGACATAATGTTTTTACTAGGCTAATAGCTCTTGATCTAGACATATGTAAATATATACATTACGCAATCCTTTTGTTAGAGCAACAATTATCTCCCAGCCCTAAAGACAAGAGAATTTGAGTCTAATCCTGTAGTGGAAATCTCCTGGTTTGGGCAGTCTTGCATCATTTGGACAAGAAAGAGTGTATCAGACAGAAGGAAGGTTGGCAGAACTCACTGAGGTGAGATGAATGAGGAGATGGTGGTACCATCTTCTGGTCGTTCAATTCATTCTCATATGTCATCCTGTGAAGCAAAACACTGATGATTAAATCCTAGTACCCTATCCAAATCAACTAATTAGTGTTCATTTGATAATGCTTTTAAGTATATGTAATACAAGCATTTTAAGTAATGCTTTCTAAACGTAACAAACTATCCTGGTATACTGGAAAACTATTCTGGGATACTGATCAGATCAGTGGTAGGTTTCAAATTTTTTTACTACCGGATCTATGGGTGTGGCTTGGTGGGCGTGGAATGGCCTGGTGGGCTTGGCAGGGGAAGGTTACTACAAAATCCCCATTTCCTCCCGATCAGCTGGAATTTAGGAGGCAGAGAATAGATGGGGGCGGGGCCAGTCAGGATTTTTACTACCGGTTCTCCGAACTACTCAAAATTTCCACTACCGGTTCTCCAGAACTGGTCAGTACCTGCTGAAACCCACCTCTGGATCAGATACTGATAGTCTTTTCCATTTTATCATTTGTTTTCCTGTATATCTGTGTATATTTAACATAATTGATGCAATACTGTAAGTTGCCCATTTGTGATTTACCAGTTTACAAAATATGATGGTGCCTTAAAATCTGATTACCAAAGACTGACTATGAATGGTTGAATTCAGGTGAAACCATGGTAAGAACTGCACAATCATATGACATCAGTTTACATCTATGTATACTGAACTAAAATAGTTGTTATAATTCTACAATAATTTCTACAGTCTGAAAAAGTATTTTTGGAATGCTTTTGTTGTTTCTTTTGGCTTTAATAATACAATAATAATTTGAAATCATCAGCAGTTTTGGCCACTTCATTGCTAATCCCAATTTCAAATAATAAATAAAGCAATAGTGTCAGAAGAGATCTTTCTGTTCCACTGTTTATATCCTTTTGTTTCCAGAACTATCTATTTTTCCTACTTCGTGTTCTTTAATTAATTACTGGTCCCTAATAGGAATTGTCCTAATGGAGTTTGGCCATAAATCTTTGGTGAAGAACTTTAGTCCTTGTAACCAGCCGCTGGAACATATGCAGACTCCAAAGACAGAGAGAGCATTAAGCTAATCGACCTATAATGCCTGGAAATGATTCCTGGGAATATTGGTTAAGGCAGCCTGATTTATATCTTTTGTAGTAAATGCAGAATCCTTTTCATAAAACATTATTTTTCTTTTACACAATGTGTTGGGCTGCTGTACGGTTTGGAAAAGGACTCCTTTAAAATTCCAGGTCCCACCTAATTATTTATACCAGAGTATTTTTTTTTTTAATTTGATTTATATGCCGCCCTTCTCCGAAGACTCAGGGCGGCTTACAATGTGCTCAGCAATAGCCTTCATCCTTTTGTATATTTTATACAAAGTCAGCTTATTGCCCCCACAACTGGGTCCTCAATTATTATTCTGAAATGAATGTTACTCTTCAATCCTGATCCTAACTGTTCCCATTTTTTATCGCAATTTTAGTTCTTACTGTATTGTTGCATTGTTGTTAGCATTACTGTTGCTGTTGTTCACGTTGGTGCCTCTTGCAGGTGGAAAGTCCTCAATGAACACTGGGGAATCTAATTCTTCACTACTCATCTCGGTGAACTGCAGAGGTCTTTGGTTTGCCATGTGTGGTGGAAGTGGGCTGCTGGGTTCGATGAAGTTCTCAACCTGGCCAAACAAGCCCCCTGTTCTCTGAATTTAATGGAGAAAGAGAAAAATTGGCCACCTTGTTTTTCCTAAAACCATTTTGTGTTTCAGCAGCAGAGAACTGAAGAAGCTGAAACTGAAGAAACTGAAGAAGCTCAAAAAGTCACACTTCTGGTAAGCTAAGGATCAAGCTACATGTTATATTAAAGGTGTTTAATATACTATATATATATAAGAGTTAAACAAGTTTAACAAGTTTAACTCTTTCCCCTCACACCATTTTACTGCCTGAAAGTTTAATTTATCAATTTAAAATTATTATTTGCGATGAATAATTTTCATGAGTAGTAACGGAGAACCATTTTGAGCAAAAGTGTAGAAGAGGGATTCCAGGTGTACCTTCCAGCTTGCTGAACTTTTGAAGAGTCATGGCCACTTTTAAATATGCTTCTTGGATTTTTTTTTTTTTAGCATAGTACAAAATTCATTGAGATTCACAAATTATGTATATTTTTTTTCCTATCACTTTGTATGCATCTGTTGTTGGGCTCAACAAGAAACAACTTCCATGGTATATTTAAAATGATTAAAAGAAAAGTTGCTTGTTTATACCTGCTTCACAATTGTTTGATCAAGAATGAATTTCACAGAGCACAGCTTGGGATGGATTAAATATTATATTTACTACTTGAAGTATTTTCTTTTTGCCTATTTCTGAAAAACGATGTAGTGCTGTGATAGGTGAGTAGCCTTACAGGGAGACACGGGTTTAAATTTTACACTCTGAAGCTTCTTGGAACTTTCATTTAGCCAATATAGAAAAACTATATTTAGAGCAGAGACCAAATGAGTATGAAAAGTGCAAATTTAGAATTTAGAAGCAATAGATAACTTCACAGTAAGATCCCTGTCAACTTTTTAAAGAAAATGGAAAAATTCTCCAACTTTAATATGAGTGATTGAGCAAAGTGAGTTTCAGAATTTGCAGAATCACCCTTACCCTCCTTTAAGTCTGTATCAGATCTTTCAAGATATAGGATTGGATGACGACGACTTTAAATTATGCAATTGCATCCACAGCGGAGGAAGATATGTTATCTTAGGAGATAAAATTGAAGTAAACAATTTGTTAAATTTCTTTATGATTTTGTGTGGCTTTTTTATAGTCTCATCAGCTAAGTTTTCTAGGTGATCTACAAAGCTTAGGAATCAATAAAAATAGAATTATATAATCAAAACTTCAATATCAATATGACCAGTCCAGTAGGGGCTTATGAAGAATTTATTCAGGTATCTCTGATGGTCCTCCTGAATTGCAAATTGTGCTGCTAATAAAATATAATGCCAGTACTTTAATATTCATTTAAATTTATGTCAGGATTTTCTTTCTTAATCATATTTTAGTGTAACCAAAAATGAAGTTCATGCAGAAAAATGGTGTTTTTTTAATTAACTTCAAAGAATGATGTGTATGTATGCATCCATACATAAGTATGCATGTTAGGTAGGTTTACTAAATCTCTGTTATGTACTGATAAGTATGCATGCATCTGATCATTTTGCAAAAAGATATTCGTTTAGCTCAGAAGGAATGCTTACATCATGAAACCCTCTCATCTCTATTCTTCAGAATGATGAATGCATTTTTTAACAGGAATTTTAAAAACCACCAGTAGTAATTTAGAAATAAAGAGGAGAGCAAAAGCCCTTCTGTCCTTTATAATTCTGATACTTATAACGAAGGAAACTGTATATGTTCTGGGCAATGAATGATTTTAATGTGGGGAGGAAGGCAAAAGTGAAAGAGGGAATGATCTGTAAGAAAGCATAGGTCACAGCAGCAAATTTGTAGATAGAAGGGACTTTTTTAATTAAAGAATAGATCTGTTTTTATATCTGCCATACACTTAATACCTCCTGTACGTATACTCACCCTGTAGATGCCTTCTTCCATTGCTGCCTCCACCATGGCTCTTTCAAGTTCCTCCTCTGCAGTCAGATCCCCAGAGATTGCTCTTTTGATCTCAGGAGCAGTTTCCTCTTCAATGGTCCTTAAGCCAGCCTTGTGAGAAGTGAGGTGGAATCCTTTAGCATTGGAAGGGGCCATTCATACCAAAATGGAAAAGGGATGGAGCAGATACTATATATCCTCCAAGAATTATTAACTTTCTCCTCTCAACCTTATTCTCCATATCACCTCTGAGTTGGACAAATGTAATGCAACCAGTGTGTTGCTGCTGGTTTTGAACATGACTCAACAAGATAGAAAACAATTGGGGTAGAAAGCAGTAATTCAACTGCTGACAGGACAATCACACCACTGCAAAATACACCAATTCTTGGCTCTAAACCCAGTTGTGTTGGTCATTATTTTTAAGGCTCTTTACAATGTAGCATGATGTCTGAAATACTATTTCTTTGCTGCTGTCTGTTTTTTTTTTCCTGGTTTTCTGGATTTCCAATTTTATACACAGTCCCATTGCATTATTTATATGAGTTAAGGGATAATATGAGTTGATATCTAAGCATCTAGTTTGCTTAATCCTGCTCTAAATCAATTGCTAAGTATGCCAAAAACAAATTCTAGAATTTCTTTAAAGACAGATTGGCTTTATACATAATCATCAATCAAAACTTTGGAGTAAAGTGAAATTGTTTTATAGCTTATTCCTTCTCCATGTAGGTGATAGGGAATGAAGAATAAATGATACCTAACACTTTGCTCAGATTTGCATAGACTCACACATACTATATAGTACATGTTGCATAAAGGAAGGTCAATTTCAGACCAGAGCAAACATATAGTGTTGAAGAAAGACTTGAATTATAAGCAGTTAAAGAAAATAAGATTGTTTGATAAGAAATCATAATACATTTCTCAAATATATTAGTACATAGCTCTTAAAAGATCCTCAAAACATATATGCTAAGAATCCACATAATTCATGCACATATCCTAGGATACCAAATTTAAGCCCAGTGCCAGAACAGAGAAACTTTAACTGGCCCTCACTCCACTGTAGGTTGAAATATTTCTGCTTCTTAAGAAGTTATGAAAATATGCATGCAGCATTTCTCTCATCAGTTTCCCATTTACCTGGATTTCAACAGCATTTTTCTTAGGTCGATATCCATAATATTCTTCCTGGCGCTTAATGAATTTTCTGAAGTGCTCTTGGATGAGGAAAGTAGCATAAAACCTTCCCACAGTAACTTCATCATCTAGAAGAATATATACAAATTAAGGCATTGTAATTATGCAAGAAATGCACAGTATGTAAGAATTCATGTACCAAGCTATTTTCTAAACATTAAATTTGATGAGAATTTATAAGTAGATCAGTCAAAAGCTTCTTCACAAGCACTAGTAATGGAAATGAAGATCAAAAGTCTTGATAGTCTGAGGACTCACCTCCAATTGGTGGAATGACTTGATCTAAAAGCTTCATGCTGGTTCTCTTCCAGATTTTTTTAATAATCATCCTCAGCTCTTCATTGGCTTTCTCAAAGTTGCCTACAAAGCACCCATCATACAAAATGATTTATACCAGTACATAACTTCATATTCAGAGTTCAACTGTAGCTTAACCAAATCAAACCAGAATAACAGAATAACAGTTGGAAGGAACCTTGTAGATCAGCTAGTCCAACCCCGCGCCCAAGCAGGAGACCCTACACCATGATAAATAGAGCTTGAAAAACCTTGAACAAAAACTCTATCATTCTGTATGTATATGTGCTAGAATTACATGACTCAAACAGAATTATATGACTCAAAATGCAGATAAAGTCTCAAAGTCCTTTATCATTTATTCATTTATTTTATTTTATTTATTTTATGCAATTTATATGCCGCCCTATCTCCGAGGACTCAGGGCGGCTCACAATGGTAAAATGCGTAATTCCTTATTAAAACGATATAAAATTAAAACCCAATTAAAACAGTTTAAAATTCATTAAAAACCCCCCATCAGTCCAGGCTACGGAACAACCAGGTCTTTAACTCGCGGCGGAACAAGCGAAGGTCAGGGGCCATCCGGAGCTCCAATGGAAGTTGGTTCCAGAGGGTGGGTGCGCCCACAGAGAAAGCTCTCCCCTGGGGTTGCCAGCCGACACTGTCTGGCTGACGGCACCCTGAGGAGGTCCTGTCTGTGGGAACGCACCGGGCGATTGGGGATTGTCACTGGCTGCAGGGGGTCTGACAAATATCCTGGGTCTAGGCCATGAAGGGCTTTATAGGTGATAACCAGCACCTTGAACCTCACCCGAAGGGCAACCGGTAACCAATGCAGGCCGCGCAGGAGGGGTGTAACATGGGAGTGTCGGGACGCTCCCATCACAACCCGCGCAGCCGCATTCTGCACCAGCTGAAGACTTTGAGTGGTTTTCAAGGGCAGCCCTAGGTAGAGAGCGTTGCAGTAATCAAGACAGGAGGTGACTAGCGCATGAGTAATGGTGCGTAGGGCATCTTGGTCCAAGTAAGGGCGCAACTGTCGCACAAGTGAACCTGGGCAAATGCCCCCCTGGTCACGGTTGTCACATGGTCTTCCAGAGACAACCGTGAATCCAGGAGGACCCCCAAGTTGCGAGCCCTATCCACAGGGGGTAACACCTCACCCCCGATGGTCAACGATGGAACATCTCGATCGGAACAAGATGCCGGTACCCACAGCCACTCGGTCTTGGCAGGGTTGAGTCGAAGCCTGTTCCTCCCCATCCAGGTCCGTACCGCTTCCAGGCCACGGGACATCACGTCAAGGGCATCACTGGGCTCGTTTGGGGTGGATATAAAAAGCTGGGTATCATCAGCATACTGATGATACCGCACCCCAAAACCACAGATGATCTTCCCAAGCGGCTTTATATAGATGTTGAACAGGAGAGGCGAGAGGACAGTCCCCTGGGCAGCCCACAAGTGAGGGGCCTCATAGCCGACCTCTGCCCCCCTGCCAACACCGCTTGCGTACGGCCCGAGAGATAGGAGGAGAACCACCATAAAACGGTGCCTCCGTTTTCATGGCTAACTCTGGTTAGCCTCTGTTATCATGGCTAACTCTGGTTTGTATTTACCAATTATGAATATCCAAACCTCGGTTTATGGAAGCATTGGAAACAAAGTGCCCCTGTATCTCCTCTGCCACTAGCGTGTGGCTCTTTCATGATTGATTTTGTATCAAATGTCTTCATTTAACTAAATTTAGAGGCCACCCAACTTCCAATGGCATTGGGTGTCTTATTTTACTTAAATAAAGCTACAACTAAAGATCAATTTAAATAGGATGGTTCAAATCTTCTATAATCCCAGTCATGGATGAACTTGCTAGTGTTTGTTTTTTGCTCAGGTTCTTTAAAGCCCTAGAGGTCTAGGAGCAGTGTGTTGGCACAGATCCCTACTGAAACTACTTATTGTAATTTACGACAGATGAAGTCTTGACTCGTTGAGGTCTTGTGATTAAATGCACTAGAAAGGTATTAATTATTATTGATTTATAGCATCTACTGTTGGCCTTATGTAATTGTGCAGTAATGGATTTTAGTGTCAGCTATTTTTCTATTGGTATATAAGGTGATTAATGTTCTTTCCCATTCATGAAATAATAACTAGAGAATGCAGTGAAATTATTCATGACATAACATTGGCAGTTTCCACTCTTACCTTCTGTCTTGATCTTGAGAGCAGTTCTCACCAGAGCAAAGAGTGTGGCATTGAAAGTAACTGTGCCATCACTGTTCAGTGGCATATTCATGCCCACTAGGCGCTGTAAACACACAAAAATATATGCCAGAAAGACAAAACATGATGGTTGGATTTACATATACTGTAGTACTATTTCACAATCGGATTTGTTTTTAATTCACTCAACAAAACATGGTTTAAAAAAATCCTAGTTTTGTATGATATGTGATTTCAGCCTTTACATATACAAACACATTTTAATAATCTGGGTCAGTCATCAGGACCAAAGGTTCTGTCTTCCGAACTTTGGGACTGGTGCTGGAGCCTATCTTCATTTTAATATTCATTACTTATTTGGCACTAAGAAACAAGATGGAGCAACAATCTTTCCTATGGGGACTATAGTGCCATTTTGGGTAATAGAACAGAAATGAGATGGGGGTCTACATAGCATCAATAAGGAAACATTGTCTGTTAGCCAATTACCTTGCAAGCCACACGGTGTGGACAAAATTTCCCAAATCCCAGGGGAGGCTGGATTCGTCTCAACAGAGTTACCACATCTAGATGCTTAATTCGGCCCCTGAGGTAATACAAAACATAGTCATATTTTATACATCTGATGCAAAAATAGAACTTTGATCCCTAATTCAGAAGGCAGAGGCCGCAATTTAATGTCTCTTTGGCATTTTTTTTAAATCAAAGTGAATCAGCACACATTTTGGTTTTATGTTTTTGATCAGTTAGCATCATCCATAACCTGCAGCATGTGTCATAAAGCATTCCTGGAAGAAGCTGGTAATTTTCCCTGCGGAGCAAATCAAAACTGGGAAATTAGCTATACAAACTCCAAGAATCTCTCAATTCCTTTCAAGCCTTGTAGATTGACATTCATTACAAATCTGATTGTGACATGCAAATAAAACAATATAAGGAGATTGAGAAAGGTCATTATTTGGTTCACACATCCCACAAAGCCATAACATGGTTTGTTTGGATCACTATTTAATGCAGACCCAGTTATTACAGACCAGAGTTTATGGCTTGCATATGGTACAAATCAATCAAATAGTGATTTGGCCAGTAAATCATGGCTAAACAAGGCATACTTTAGCGTAATATGTTGCCCCACTCAGTGTCTTCATATCACTGACAAAACAAGAGTTTGAAATCTTAACTTTCAATGCAAGATAACAATTAACCCCAGTTTCCTTACAAGACTGACTAACATAAAGAAAAGTCAGACAATCCCACTAAGGGATGAATATTGGGAGTAGTAGTAACAGCCTTCTGTTTGTTCCTCTACAGAGGACAGATTTATACAGTCGGGCTTTTACACTAGCTTGTTGTATTAGTTATAATGGAAGTCACTATCCCATGTTGAAATAGTTAAGCTATTTAAGATACAGATTTGGGGGAGGACAATCTCTTGTGTGCCTTAAACAGTAAAATGTTTTCAGCACTCTGAGCACTGTATCATAAACACATGTTTTTTTGGTGATATAAAAATATAACTTATGAAAGATAACTCTTAAGAAGAACTATTTATCAAAGGATATTGAACACCTATAATTCTTTGAATGGTCCTTGATGATACTTATTCTTGGAAAATCCATTTTTACACCTAATACAGCAAAGTAATAATCGGGACTTCCTCTGTCTCCAGAACAGCTAGTCATTCTAAATTTATTGTTCAATATCTTTAAAACATTGATTAGCGAAGTTGTTGGTGAACAAATGGATGCTCCATTCATTTTTAACAGGAAAACAACAGAAGAGAATATATGTAGCTCATGATTGAACTGTGGAGTCCTTGGTATACTTTAAGCTTTTTTTATTAAAAATATCAAGAAAGAAACAAAAAGACCAGAGCACATTCTTTCTGGCAGCCTATATCCAGAGAAGCAGGGATTAACTGCAGAGAAACAATCAGCAGAAAACCATAACCTAATCAAGGAACAATCAAGGAGAAAAGCCTACTCCCATCATCAGTGGCAAGGCAAATAAAGAGGTATCAAACCTCACACTCATTAACACTGATGATGGTACCTAGTTGGGTAATAAAATGTCTGCAAGCGAACAACCAAGCTCAGAGAGCACCAAGGACTCCACAATAGGAAACTTTAGAGCACGGGTGTCAAACTCGCGACGTCACATAGTCATGTGATGTATCACGACTTTTCCCCCCTTCGCTAAACTGGGGGAAATTCAGCAGGTTCTGACAGTTCTGAAAAACTGGTAGTGGAAATTTTGAATTGTCCAGGGAACCGGCAAATACCACCTCTGGCTGGCCCCAGAGTGGGGTGGGAATGGAGATTTTGCAATATCCTTCCCCCAGGAGTGGGGAGGGAATGGGATTTTGCAGTATCCTTCCCCTGCCATGCCCACCAAGCCATGCCCACCAAGCCACACCACACCCACCAAACCATGCCCACAGAACCGGTAGTAAAAAAAAAAAGAATTCCACCACTGGGTGGGCATGGCCAGTGTGTGAAGCATCTGGCCCGCGGGCCGTGAGTTTGACACCCCTGCTTTAGAGATATAGACTGCAGTGAATGCTCAAAACAAAAACAGGAAATTTAGCCCACTAATATCTATATTAGAGTATAAGGTTGCATCATAATCTCCCTCTTAGATTATGTTAACTATATTTTATTATATCCCTCTAATATTCCTGTTATAAACACACTTGCAAATAAATGAACATGTATTCCAAGAAAGTGTCTTATGATTAGTGTTCTCCATTTAGGCTGAAATAGACTGAAAGCAAAGCAAAAGTATAGCTTTCTCATTCTGTAGATGCATAAGTGAATATGCTAATTTTAGATTGCATTTAAAAAAAACCAAATCACTGAGCTTGCTTTTAATTTTCAGTGAAGCTATTCATGGCAATCTACCAATAGAGAGATTCTCACGTGGCTTCAGGATCATATTCTGCCCAGATTTTTTTGAATTCATCCAGGTGGTGGGGACCTAAAATGGACCAATCCCGTGTGAGGTAGTCAAAATTATCCATGATGACAGCAACAAAGAGATTGATAATCTAAGGAGAAATAAATTGGCACATTTTAGATGAAAGATGACAGCAGACAATGGAGCTTCATCAAGCATCATCAAGATATTTTCTTTGGAATCAGAAGAATTCATAGTATTAAACTCTTGACTGTTTTATAAAAACTAACTGGCTGATTTTCTCAGGCAATAAAACAATATTTCCATAAATTCTGCCTTTCATGTATCTGGATGGTTTCACAAAATAGATACCAACTAAGATAGTAATTAGGACATAAGCAGAAAAATGATCATCATAAAAAGGTGTTCTTATGAGCACAAATCATAATTTAATACAATGATCCTCAACTTTTCATTTCTTAAATGAAATTTCCAAGACAGACATGCATCCTGTTGTTGGATTTATCGGTTGAAATGAGCTTTAAGAACATATATTGCAAGTTTCCTTCTCTTTCTAATAGTAGCTTTCCTCTAATTGTTGCAAAAGGAGGTTGTGAGAAAAACATCTTTCTCAACCACAAATGTATAGTATCAGGGAAGTGCTGCCCCACTTGGCTACTCGACTTTTCTAAAAGTGAAACATGTACTACCAGCTCAGACACACTCATAATATACCACAAGAGAGGATACTATCATGATATCTTCAATAGATTCACATACCGCATCAAGCTATAACAATGTGCTTTGGTATGAGGAAAAGTTCTGAAGAAGTATCATTTAAATGGGGGAAGAAAAGGAATATTCCAAAGGGCCATTTTATTGCAGTATAATGTTGCTACAGGAATTATCTGTCTGGAGATTTGAAGAAATTCAAACAAATATGAAATTTGATATGGGGGCAACATTAAGAATTGTGTTGGCACAGTGATTAGAATGCAGTACTGCAGGCTAACTCTGTTCACTACGAGGAGTTCAATCCTGACCTACTCAAGGTTGATTCAGCATTCCATCCTTCCAAGATCAGTAAAATAAGGACCCAGATTGTTGGGGGCAATATGCTGACTCTATAAACTGCTTAGAGAGGGATGTAAAGCATTATGAAGCAATATATAAGTCTAACTGCTATTGCTATTTAACATTATTTGAACTAATAAAATAGAATCTAATCTCCTTAAGCCTTATAAAAAGGAATGAAGGCAAGCAAATTTCGGTCCTTTTTTTACTCTAGAGTTGGCCTCTAATCGCCCTTCACAACCAAAGGAAATCAATTAATCTTAATATCTGTGGCCTAATATTCCCTGGTTCCATGGTCAGTTTAGTCAAGTTTACATTTCAGTGAAGTTGAGGATCATAGACCATGAACAGCTCTAGAGACTAGTGGTCAGCAGTTCTTAACACTAATTTATGGAAGCATCTTAACAGCCTGCCATCATTTTTAATGAAATGAGCTATGTGCAGTAGCTGGGGCAGTCTGGGGAGGGGGGAAATATCCTGTTTTTCACGTCTCAGAAATAAAGAAAGACACTACGGTAGCAATAGCTGCCATGATCTACAAATATATTATTCTACCTCTGGTCAAATAGTTTTTGCAGATGTTGAAACAGAATGAAACCAAGAAAAAAAATCTGTCCAGAAGTGATGAACAATGCCTATATCACATACACCACTTCCATAAAACTTTCACTGTTCTGGGGGTGGTGGGATGCCACACAGTCCGTTTCTGGTCTTATTTTCACCCTTAAGACTTGATTTGGCACAAACGTTATAACCGCTGCATTCTGGCATTGGAAGGTGTAGCCAACTCACCTGCCCCCACATGACAGACACAAAAGGACCCTTGAAATTAAAGTAATGTACATTTCTAATAAAGGAGAATATTTGTAGCTCGGGATTGACATGAGGGGTCCTTGGTGCTCTCTGAGCTTGCTTGTTTTCTTGCAGGCATTTCATTACCCAAACTAGGTAACATCATCGGTGCTAGAATACATCCCACAGACATGCTGGGAAATGAAAAAACAAACTGCAAAGCAAATTAGACCCAAACTAGACTGATGATATTACCTAGTTTGGGTAATGAAATGTCTGCAAGAAAACAAGCAAGCTCAGAGAGCACCAAAGACCCGTAACGTACCTTTCATTAACATATTACAGTGTAATCCCTGGAAATATGAATTTTTAAGCCAAAAGATCTCCACTTCAAATCATATTAGCCCTAATATACTGGAACCTAGTCAGCCTGATCTCCTCATCTGCATCATGGCACAGGGTAGGGGCAGTGGTGGGATTCAAATAATTTAAAAACCAGTTCTCTGCCCTAATGACCGGCTGGGTCGGCATGGCCATGGTGGGCGTGGCCAGCGGTTGTGACAGGCAGCACTTGGCCTCCTACATCCCCCAGGAGCAAAAACGGGCCACAGGGGGGGTGCTGCCCCCTGCGCTCAGTTTTGGGCCTAATATGCCTCCCTGCAGCTTGCTGGGAGCAAAAACGGGCCACGGGGGGCCTGCGCCACACACCCCATGCCCCATTTTGGGCCTACTAGGCTTCCCTGTACTTACCTGGGAGCCAAAACGGGGCGTGTGGGGACTTCTGGAAGGAGCGGGGCAGGGAGGGGAGGGGCCACCCAGCAATTTAACAGCCGGTTTGCCCAAAGTGGTGCAAACTGGTTAAATCCCACCACTGGGTAGGGGGTAGAAACCTATACACTAAATATGAACTTAGGAATTAGGTTCTGGTGGCTAAGTAACCAACATGATTACAGGGAAATATTTGTGTTCTGGAAGGAACCCCCAGCTTTGCAATAGTAGTGGGAAAACTGTAAAAAAAAGAAATCTAAACAACAAACCTAAACAGCCCAATAAGAATGAGAATGCTCAGAAATAAGAGGGTGTGGAATGTCTGTTTGGGAGAGGATATGTGGCATGGAAATCTGGAGAGCAAAAGGGAGAATAGGATGAATACTGAACTGAACATTGGTTGGATTGATCAGGGGCATTAAATGCTGTACCATTTCACTGCATATCACACTTAAATTATTAATCTTCCTAGATAAGAACTATAAAGATTATTGATGCACTGTCTTCCTTTCAATCTATTGTTCATATCTAAATATTTTTCTTCCTCAATTGTGAATAACTCAATAACCGGATGAACTCCACCTGTTTACATTTAGTTCCAGTTCTGATGACATCTCATTTATCTATATATTGCAAATATATGTTGGATGCACACAATATAAGAGCTTGATATGAGAAAGAAGGAAGGAAAATAAACATACCAGGAATGCACACAGCGCGTAAAAGCTTACAAAGTAGAAATAAGCAAAGCCTGAGCCACATGTGTATTCTTCTCCAGGAGCATAATCAGACTCAGGGTCGCATAACTTGCCATAGCTGGCACCTAATAAGACCTCCTGCCAGGCCTCACCTGTGGCACACCTAGAGAAAAAGGGAAATTAAGGCAAGGCATAATATGATACATGAACCTAATCCAGAAGGATTATAAAAATAATTCATGGATATAATTAACCTTCTTTAAAAGTACATAGTATCAATCAGAATTTTTTCTAGATTGAGCTGCAGGAATTATAATCATATTCATACATACTACCCTTTCCAATAGCAGTTCTCATTTACTTACTCATTGGTCAAATGTTTTAGAAGAAATTGAAAAAAGAATAACTCAAGGATAGATGGGATAATTGTAGCTATCATCTATCATCTACCATCTATCTATGTTTATCTATATCATCTATATCTATATCTGTCTGTCTCCTTTCTTTATTATTTTTATAGATAGCTCAAAATGGCAAACAAACACAATATGCCTTCCTCCTTCTATTTTCCCCACAATCACAACTCTGTGGAGTTGGATTAAGAGATGGTGACAGGCCCAAAGTCACACAGCTGGCTTTCAAACCTAAGGCAGAACTAGTACTTGCAGTCTCCTGGTTCTATCCTCGTGCTTTAACTACTGTTGAGTTTACTCCTCATTCCTCCCGATATATTGGGAACAGTTGTTATTTAAATCATTACATTTCCCCTGCCCCACCAATTGGCAGATTCACAGAACACTGGAAAACCAAAGTATACATTTGGCTGGGTCAGTGGCATTGAAAAGTGTAGGAAATAGTACTGTTGGAAATTAATCCCTTAAACAGGAATTGTTTTATTCAAACATCGTATTTAAACCACACATTTATGCTAACTTTACCATCAACCTTGATATCTATAGAAAATGTACACAGGACTATGTTTTTGAAGATGATGGATGTACTTTTTGGATCTTAAAGGATCTTCTGTCAAGAGAGGAAATGCCACCAATAAGAAGGGAGGAAAGGTTAATGAAGATAATGTGGGCCCTCAGCTATAAACCAAATAAGCTTAAATGATACAAACCTGAATAGCATCAACACTGCTTGTGGGAAAGTCTGAAAGTTGTTGTTCCGGTTTATTTGAGTTCCATCTACCAATGCAATTTTCCCAAACATCTATAAATGAACATGCTGTTGTCAGAGACTTATCTGCAAAGCTTTGCAGCTTGTGACCATTCTCTTATGCTTTGCTCATACTGGATTCTACTTGAGCTATTTAAAGTAGGTGGAGGGCTTCTTTTGCCATCTTCCTGACTTAAACACCTGGTCCACCTTTTCCAGTTTGAACAATATTTTTTGTAGTAAGGGGAGAAGAGAAAGAAAAAGCAGTAAAAACCAAGGGAGTGCTGTGGGTAGAATATAATGACACCTGTGCCCCTTGAGAGGTTTGATTTATGGTAAAAACCATGCCTAGAAGCATCCCTTTTCTTTGAATTTTTCAGGTTAGTAAAATTGTGTTTGCAATCCTCCATTAAGAAACAGTAAATGCTTCCAGATGACATTTCTCACATTTTCTGAAACAAAGGGATTATTTTCCCTTTGTAACTCTCCTATATTTTTCTGTTTCTTTTACCTTTTTACTTTCCACAAAATACCATTAAGAGGGGAAAAAAGGAGAGAAATAAATTCCGAAGGATTATGCTAGGAGTCCTCATTTGAAAACATCCTAAATCCTATTGAAGAATATTGTAAGTGATATTAAACTCACAAGTGGAAGCAGAATCTTTCTCTGAGTCTCTGGCTTTCCTGTCCACATTGTAGGTTAATCTCTATATAAGTAGTCCTCAATTTACAACCATAATTGGGACTGGAACTTCCATTGCTACGTGATGCAACTATTAAGTGAGTCATGCCCAATCGTATGACTTTTTTTTTGCCATGGCCCATTTTAATCACTTCAGTCATTAAATAAATTATGTGATCATTAAATAGAAGTCAAATAAATAAATAAAATAAAATGAATCCAGCTTTCTCCATTCACTTTGCTTGTTGGAAGTTCCCTGAAAAGACTTTAAATTTTGATCACATGACCATGGGGATTACTGTGATGGTCATAAGCACGATGACAGGTTGTAAGTCACTTTTTTTCCAGCACCATTGTAACTTCAAACTGCCATTAAAGGAATGGTTGTAAGTGAAGGACTACCAATAGTCACATAATGAAAGAGGTGATCAAGGAATCAGTAGTGGGGGGCTTCATTGCTGAAGATGAAAGAGTTGGATGTCTGGGCAGGAATGACATGCAGCCTTCACAATACTTTTCAACTTATATAGTTGTGGGAATAGAGTTTGAGAGTAAGAAATGCATCCAAGTAAGGTAATTACATTAAGGTTTGTCTCTGTCCATTTAGATCAGGGCTGTCAAACTCCCAGCCCATGGGCCGGATGCATCACATGCTAGCCACACCCATGCCTGGTTTAGGGAAAGCGAAAAAAGTTCCGATAACCATGGGCCAGATGTGTCATGCACTGGCCATGGCCATGCCTGGTTTAGCAAAGGGGGGAAGGGAGTCCCAATACGTCATGTGACACCGCCATGACAACATGAGTTTGACACCCTGATTCAGATAATTTATAACTGGGATTTAGGGAGGGATTGTTCAATGAGGTAATGCGAGCATTTTCTTGCATTGCTTACCTGCATCCCAATCACAGCATAGATGAAGAACAACATTACGATCAGCAAGGCCACATGTGGTAATGCCTGGGGATAAGGTAGAGAAGAATCTGAGGGTCATCCACAACTGCAGATCAGCTATGGGTTGGGAGGTATTGAAGTGCTATATTTGTTTCCACTTCACCCAGCCCATTCCCATTTTTCAGGATTCTTCCTTCACTTATGGTAGATACGAACTTGCACATCCAGTAAGGTGTACTTACCTGGAAGGATTTGATAAATGTCCAGAGTAAATTTCTAATGCCTTCTCCTCGGCTCAGCAATTTTACCAGTCTTAGGACCCTGAAAAGCCGGAAAAAAGTGATGGAGATACGACCGCTGTCATCAGGATCTATGGCAGGAAGCTGTGGAAAGAACACATCCCTTGCAATGGAAGAAGCAGACAGAAGGAAGTACACTTTATTCACCGGAGGACTCTCTTGTATTCACTAGGGTTCCCTAAAACAAGAGAGCTACAATCTACTGTTTAATTGCAGAAAAGCAGTTGACATGATATTTCTAAGAGAGGAGAGATGTTAACCTTCTCAGTTTTGCTCTTCTAGACCTACCTACCACTATTTTGGCCCCATGTGCTTCTTGACTTCAGGCACAAATCATTTTTCCCAATCCTGCTTTAAAGCTTTATATAGCTGAGGATGTAGCACCACTTTCAGCCTGTGAATTAACAACCCCACCCCAAAAAAAACCAACAACCAGGGCAGTCCATGGGAATATCAATTAGTTCATCTTCAAAGACCTTTGACTCTTTGAAGGACACAGACTTGTATTCATCTTTTAGATTATGTGTTTTTGGCACATTTTCCAACTCCCTGTCCTTGCAGAAATCCAAGACCACAAAATTAAATTAGAAGATCTAGAAAAATTCAGACACTTCTTTCAAAAAAGGATGTACAGTGACAGTTATGTGTGTGTGTGTGTTGTGTGAACCCAGCCACTGTCATTTGTAAACCAAGGCTTATAGCTTAGCAGTATGTTCTGAAAATATGTATTCAGTAAAGTGCATGAAACACTGTAACTGGGCCAACATTTGTTTATTATATATTTCAATATACGAGAAACTCAACCAACCAGATTCACTGGAGCTATCAAAGATCCATTGCCTACTGTTATTTCCACTGAGAATATCTCACCTTGTTTCATCTAGCTTGGTCATTCCTGTTGCACTTGAATTTTTGCATGTATTAAACAAACTACAAAACAGAATAGGACCCAAGTATCTGAAGGAATACCTCCTATATACTAATTTATCCAGGTATTGAAGTCATATTTGAAAGCTATTCTCTAGATGCCCTTAGCCTTAGAGGTACAACAAGTAGAACTAAGGCAGTAATTCTCAGTTTTTTGTATTTTAAGTCCCATAAGTTTTTACTTGAAAGAATCTAGATAGATATAAAAAGTCATTTTCTTTTCCTAAGGGACCCTGTAATGTTTACAGAAATCCTATTATTGTATTTATCAATTCAGGAAGGTTTTCAAAGTCTGAATGACTTATGTGTGTTCCACCTATACAATTTTGTGTCTCAGCTATGGTATACCACTTGTTTGGAACAACTGCACTAAAAAAAAAAAAAATCTCTTTCCAGAAAAGATATGAGAGCTGGATCTTATATGATCACAGATTAAGAGCTTGCTCTTGGATCATTTCAGTACCAAAAGCCAGTTGGACATCATCCCTTCTGTCCAAAGAAAGTGGCTTCTAGTGGACCATTGCATCACAATGTCACAAGAGGCACAACAATTTGAACCTTAGTTTCATGCTAAATGGGATGTGTATTTGATACACAGGAATCCCTGGAATTCTTTCATAATGGCTTTGTTTGCTTTTCTAGTATAAGCCACTTATCAGAGCTCCAGTATTCTAATATACTAATTTATCTGTTTCCAGGGCAGCTTGCTGGAAGTAGTCCGACAAATACTATTGTGAAACTATCATTATTACCTATTCAGTGCCAAGCAATCACCATTTTATTCTTCCATCATTATTTTTATTTACTTCATGCAACTTTTCATAAAATCACATAATATTCTTTTACTTGTTTTTCATCTGCATCTCATTTTTGTAAAGCACATTGGAAACATAGGGACAGTATGTAAATATTTTAAATAACCAATAAAACAGCATTTACCTGTGACGTGTCTCCATTGTTGTAGGCTCCTTGGACTGCCAGTGGCTTGGTCTGTGAATATATTCCATGGTAATGAACACGGCAATGGTTGCAACACAAGTAGAAGTAGGGGTTCAGGATCAACAACATGCTAAACTAAGGGACTGGATAAAACTAGATGGTTGATTTCATGCTGACACAGAAGGGCTGGAATACAGGATGGAGATTCATGCCACTGTTATTATATTTAGTGCTAAGCCTAGCAATTCCACCATGGATTAATACTGATGGACTGCTGGCTTTTACTGAAACAAAGAAAGTCATTGAAGTCTAGAAGGTGTAGATTCAATTTGTCAAAAAGAAAACATACACATGACAGGAAACACCAAATGATATGATTATTGTAAAATCTGATACTATCATAAACTTAACCAGTGCATACACAGTTGTAAATGTAATGATTTTTTTCCAAGGAACATTAGGATCCATATATTGAACTGATATGGCTTCCCTACCAAAAACAACTTTCAAACTACTGAATTACCTATATATACAAAGATAATTCAGTAGTTGGAAAGTTCTTTTTGGTGAGGAACTCATAACAGTTCAACTGGTTTTTTTCTGTATATTCATCCTAATATTGGGCATATATTGGTATAATGATTGTAGCAACAAGGATATCACCTATTCAAAGCAGAGTAAAACTCAGAACTGCAAAGTAATTTACATGGGTTACTTCTAAGTAGCATACATTTGCTACAAAACTGATTCATAGATTTATGCTTCTGCAGAGAAGCAAAAACCATAGTTCATAAATCAGTTTCAGTCCTCAGTTCTTAAGTAGACTCGATCATATTTAATGTAAAAATTCCATTGCACCTGACCTTTTTTTTACATTAAAAATACAGTAGCTGTTTTTACGAATTTTAGCAACTCTGTTTAAATGTCCATTTCAGCAGTTTTAAGTATATTTTATTTTTTTTCAGTAAAATTACATTGTTCTTGACCAATAAGCACAGATATTACATTATTTAATATCATTGCTTTGGTATCAGTCCATACCAAAAGGAAATAGGTTTATATGAGCTAGATAATGAAATATATTTTCTTATTCTTTCTATTTTTCCTATCTTTTCTTTCTATATCAACACTAAACTTTTATTTGTATTACTTTTGTACCTTGTTTATTTGTAACCTAGAGACAGAAGACTATATAGGTGATGGTGACAGCACTGGATATTGGTGCAATACCATCACTGCTCTATGGCAACAGAACTGCCAATGCTGACCAGGGTTTTTTTGCACGTTGCCATCTTCATGTACACCCACTGTACCTCTCTACCTTCACTATTTGCACAATAGTGGAAAGTGAACAAAAAAAGGAAAGCCCCTATGGATTGAATGAATTATGGACTGTCATCATGTGAGCTTGATTAAATAAGATAATCAAAGTCACATTGTGATAGGAAGGATGTAACAGGCTGCATGCATATGCAGCTAATATTATCTATTGTTCTAAAGGGCTATCCAAGCCTAATGCTGAACTGGCATTGCCATGGACTAAATTGCCTCTAGAAAGGACTTTCTTATTAAATGAAATTCTTCTGCATCATCCTCCAAAGTCTGAACACCGCAGATTCAAAACCAAAAGTGTCACAAGAAGGAACTATGATCAGGAAAGGATGTGATGAATAGCCAGTTATCTGATTTATACCTTTGTTGTTTTGCCCTGAAACAAGGTATATACCCTTAAACCAAAGCGCTGAAACCACACAGAAGCTGAAAAAAAAGTAGGCAGGGATAAATTTGATACAGTATATTTCATAGGAGTGTCAACCCTTCAAGGTGATCCAGGTCAGGAAAGCATGAATACCAATACTACCTTTATTATAAGGTTACAGTGACAGAATCTTGCAAGTCTGAAAGCTTTTCCTCAGTCCCTGGATTTTGTTGTTCTCCCCTTGCTAAGAACAAAGAAGAACTAGGGAGAGTGAATAACTGAGGTGTTTTCTCGATGCCCATTCCTGCTTTGGACTCAAGTTTTCTCTTAGCAGACTTTTGTCTAGGCTGTGGTTCTTACTCCTGTCTCTCAAGGTTATTCTCATAGCCCTTTATAGGGAGAGAATTAAAGGGATTGCATCAGTGGTGGGATTCAAGTAATTTAACAACCGGTTCTCTGCCCTAATGATTTCTTCCAAAAACCAGTTTGCCAAACTGCTCAGAAAGTTAACAACCTTTTTCTCCCGAAGTGGTGGAAACTGGCTGAATCCCACCACTGGATTGCACCATTGCACCAATCCATTCATATGGAAGGTGTCAATCACCAAGAAGTAGAATATCCCTTTGGAATATCATCTCTTCCAAAATTAGACTGCCCCCCCCACTTCAACACTCTTTCGTAAGGCCCTGAAGACTTTTGCTAGTGGGCCTGGGGAACCCAGAGTGGGGTGGAGCCCATCAAATGGCTTATTTGACTGTGTGTTGTGCAGGGTGGTGGTGGAGGGTGGGCAGGGGAGGGTACTGTTTTTTATTTTATTTTTTTATTTTTGTTCTATACCATGTTTTCATTGTTTGTAAGCCACCTAGAGTAGCGGTGAGCGAGTAGACGGCTATATAAATTTTCTAAATAAATAAATAAATACTTACACCACAGAAAGTAAACTAGGAAAAAAGAGCCTCACCCAAGGAAACTGTAGTGTGCTTAAGCGATTCTTCAATAACTGGTCCATAAACAAGTTCCCTTTATCGGCATTATCGGCATTATTTCTAGAGGATCACAGTTTGTTTTCCTACAGACCCGCTTTCAGCATTAGTTGCATGCAACTCACACTTTTACACAGCAGCACACAGCAAGAAGAAATAATCTAGAAAAGGAGGAAAGGGAAATGTGGAACAAAATGGTGTCCACAACAACGTCATGCAGCTGATATTTACAACGCCATCACAGCCACCGCTTAGGCAGTACAATCCACCACTGGAAACAAGAATTGTCTGTCAAGAAAACAACAGAGTCAGCCAAGTGCAGTATTAAAAAAAATAGAGAAGTTGGAAACAATGATTTGGAAAGAGAAAGGGATAGGAAATGAGGGGGGAGGGGTGGACTGGTGTTTCACAGAGAAATCATGAAGGAATCACATTAGAATTACAATGAGATGTACAGGTAGAAAGGAGGAAGGAGGAAAGGATTGAAGAATAATGAATAAAAAGCAATGACATGAAGTGCATTAAGCTAGTAGTGTTTTTAGCAGAACGTAGAAATCTCCTAAGAGAATTGGATAAAACTAAGAGAAATCAAGAGACCTTTTTGAATATTTATATAAGATATATTTCTTCCAAGATTAGATGCCTATAACTGTCTATGACACATTATCAGCTACAACCAAACTGCCAAGAGACCACAAGTGAATTAAATTTCAAATATAGTCATGTGGTGGGTACTTCCAGAAGAAATCAGGCTCTATGTTCCGTCCTATTATGGCTTATCATGGTCAGGTTTTCAGAAAGACTCGATTCTCAGAATGTCTTCCTTCTTATTGATTTCTGAAAATAATAGTTCTAATCCATAAAAACAATACAACAATTGAATAGATAAAAGACAGACTTGTCTTTGTACAAAAATTAGCAAGACAAGTTTCTTTTCATGACTGTATGTTCATTCCAAATGCACTGATCAGTATCCACATGCAGATATTTTAATATTTCCTTGTCAGTCTGGCTTCCTGCTAGAAGCCATTATGCATCTCCTTATATAGCTGGCACTTTACAAGGTCAAACCCAGGGGTGAAATCCAAATTTTTTTCCCTACTGGTTCTGTGGGCATGGCTTGGTGGGCGTGGCAGGGGAAGGATATTGCAAAATCTCCATTCCCACCCCACTCCAGGGGAAGGATACTTCAAAATCTCCATTCCCTCCTCTCCTGGGGGAAGGATATTGCAAAATCTCCATTCCCACCTCACTCTGGGGCCAGCCAGAGGTGGTATTTGTCGGTTCTCCGAACTACTCAAAATTTCCGCTACCGGTTCTCCAGAACCTGTCAGAACCTGCTGGATTTCACCCCTGGTCAAACCCCTACAGTTCTCAGGCAAAAAAAAAAGCTATGTCAGCATAGATCAGGTGCCTTCCAAGACCACCAACAGAAGTACTAGGATCCATTAACATGGAATTGTGGAAGGAAAAATCCTAGAATATAAAACTTGGAATATAAATTTATATAGACCTTGATTATTATTGTATTGATAAGATAGATATTCTCCGTGTAAGATTCATCCTTGTCTGCAATAATGAAACTAATTTTGCTGAATTAGTAAATTTTCTACTGGATAAGCCAAATTTTGAAAAGTATTTAAGCTGAGGTTTATAGCTGTGCTTGGTGTAACATCTGAAAATCCTGGCATTAGTCTAATATTTGTGCTTTAAGCCTGCTACATATGGTCACATTTGATGGAGCAATATTCTAACTTGTTCTTTCTCTTTTACTAGGAATAAACCTTATTTGAACAATGAAGTTATGATTCCTAGGTCCATAGATATGAACCTTAATGTATTCATCATTTGTTTCTGAACATAATACTATCAGACATGACTTCTATTAGTCCATCTAAAAATGTATGAAACACAAAATGTAGTCAACATCAGCTTACAACTAAATGAGACAAAGAGACTACTGTATGAAGAAGGATAAAAGAAAAGAATATTAATTTGGTTTGAAAACCAAAGATATAATGTTTTGGGAAGATAAACAGAAGTTCTAAAAATATTTTCGCTTTTTTTATGAACCAAGAATATACAAAGCAATCAGCATGGAAGTATATCAAGATGATGTTTTATGAGAATGATGGTCCTTTTGCAACGTACAATTTACAACTCACAACAGTTCAGTAAAAAATATTCCAGTGTAACATAAGAAGAATGAAATTAGGACAAGAAGAATTTCCATCTCTGATGGTGAAGAAAACTACAGATTCCCAAAGCAAGAGAATACTCACCAGGCAGCTGCCAGATTCCCCATCTAAATTTCACTGAATTTGATTTCTTTTTTAGGTTAATTTTCTATGTCTATTTCCCAAATGTTTTAATGAGTCGAGTCATGTACAAAGTCTGTACATTTGACAGATAAAAACTTGGGAGTCTCCAGGTAGATTAAGAAATGTACCCCATGATACAGGGAAAAAGAGAAAATTTCAGTGGGGACTTTTGATGCACAATCTTGCCCTTAGCTCTTCATGTTTAGATTTGAGAAGAAAAATCCTAAAACAGGTTGATCTTTGTATTGGTGATTTATAAAACTTTGGAACCAGTGATAAAGCAAATTTGGACTATAAAGAAACATAACTATTTTTTATAGGGACTGATATATATGAAAGAAAACAAGTTACAGAATAAGTTTGTAATGATTTGAGTAATCCTGAATAAAATGCAAATACTACTGATGAGTAATATTGTAGATTTTCATACTTCTAATCTTGTTTCTAAAGTAATAGCTAACTGTAGCTGTAAACAATAGCAATGGAGCCAAAGGCACATGAAGACATTTTTCATCCAAAGCTATGCGCTTTCTCTCCTTTATACGCATATTCAGTGTTGGAAAATGCATATGCAATTCCACTTATGGCATATATTTCAATATGCTTGTGTTTATATCATAGCATCCATGCACATGTATGCAAAAAGCCCAAATTATGCACGTACCATAAAGAGAGACGCAGTAGAAGCACAAATACTAAGCAGATGACATATGGTTGCCATGGACCACAGAGTAGAAATTCTCTGCCGGTACCATGAGGCAAGCCATTTCAAGAGGAATTTCATATCACAATTGCCATGTATGTATGATTTATTGAAGCTCAAGGTTTAGAGAACACACAGATGCTGTAGGAGAAGTGGTGTCCCCTGGCTATGATATATCAGTCCTTGATCAGTAAAAAAAATCAAGAACAAATTACCTTAAGATGATTCTTGAAAAATGTCTGAGGTTTGCAGAACATGACCTACTCAAACTCTAACTAAGGGATCTGCAACCCATCAACTAGCAAATGGCAATGATTACTATCTCCCACCAGAAGAAACTGAAAATGATTGACCATTGCTGTGATTTAGAAGCTGTATTCAACATGCAGCACTCACGACATCTTTGGGGAGCTGGGAAACTGTGGCTGCTTAGTAGTGACAGTCATTGTTCCCCTTCCCTTCAGTTTAAGAAGTCGTTCCGACTCCTTGTTTCTTTCCAATACAATTATCCTCATAGCACTTACATCAATCTGACTCAGGATGACATCAATGATGCTGCCGACAACTATGAGAAAATCAAAGACATTCCAGGGGTCCCCAAAGTATCCCTAGAAAAGAAAGAAGAATGTAAACTCCAAATAAATAGATTAAGCTGAAAGAATCAGTGTTGAACTTTTTGGCTTATTGCTGAACCTTGTGACCTTATTAAAACAAGTAACAGATATATAGCCCACACAAGTGGTTTTATTAAAACAAAGTAACAGATATATAGCCCACACAAGTGGTCTTTTAGGACCATCCTCACTGAAGATGGCTTGTGTTATTCTAAACCAAGGTCAGGCTGGCTTTCTGATAGAAGTTGTGATGCATTGATTCTCACTCACCTTAGCCTTGAAAGCTATCAGTTTAAGAATCATCTCAATAGTAAAGAGGATGGTGAAGACCACATTGAGGACATCTGAGAGCTGGTTCATAAACTCTGATTGCTTATAATGCTGTAGAGATAGTTGAAAAACAGATTATTAAGAAAACATGGGCTTTTTTTAAAGAATAAAGCTTTTCGTTAAGGACAGAGTCACTTTGCTTGCTTTCTCTTTGTTTTTTGGCTTGCTCTCTCTCTGTCTGAAAATAGTTAGAATGGTACTAGATAATGGATTCTCCTCTTGTCCTCTTAACTTCTCCTTGCCCTATATCTTATTGTCTGCTATTCCTATTGCCAGAATGGCAATGAAAAACTACTGCTCTGGTCACTTTGTAGAAAGCAACAACTAGATGAAGAGTTTGTGTGTGTGTGATAGCCTATACATAATGATGCTTTTGATGGACACGTTTAACAAATGCGAACAGCGAAATTTTGTCCACAGACTTTCTCTTTGGAAAATTAAACCTCACAGACTGCAGGATTAAGAATGAAAAATATGGAAAGTGACCAAGAGGACACTGGGCAAATAACAGTCTTTGATCACATCATCAGTGTCACAGTTTCAGCTGAAGTGCCTTGCAATTAGCAAGGCTCGTGTAAGGGAAAGATGGAAAACACATCACTTTAACTTCAAAGCAGATAAATAAGTTAGGTGCTCTCAGCTGGGATGAGATAAAGGTTGCATCATGTGGACAGGTCTTTAAAGCATGGCTAGCAAGGCATCTTCAAGGTAAAATTAGTGGGCATGTGGATGAATCCTGTGTTTCAGCTTTCCTTCAGCAGGCAGGTTTGTCCCAAAATTTCATAGTTCCCGCTACTGCCACCACCATTCCACAGCTGAAGAGGAGTTCTTTGCATCCATACCTGCATGCCCAAGCAGATGGTGTTCAGTGTGATCAGGAAAAACATGAGGTACTCAAAGTAGGAGGAGGTCACCAAATACCAGATCTGGTATTGGTAAGGGTTCTTGGGAATGTAGCATCGCAGAGGCCGTGCTTTCAGGGCATACTGGACACACTGGCGCTGAAATGAGAAGCAAGGCAAGATGTGAAGAGGCCAAAAAGGAACAGGCTTATTATACTTGCCTCGATTTTCTGAGATCTATCAGCAATGCCAAGTGTTTATTGTGGCTTATTCTTTTCATAAACACAATGCTTAAACAGATTGCTTTCCAACAAATAGCTGTCAATTTTTTAAAAAATATTTATTTATTTATTTATTTACTTACTTACTTACTTACTTACTTATTTACTTACTTATTTACTTACCAAGTGTACATATGTATTTGTTAAGAGTTGTATCCCACCTTTTACCCAAGAGCATGAGAATCACCCTTTACAGGTAGTCCTTGACTTATGACTGCAATTGAGCCCAAAATGTATGTTGTTAAGTGAGACATTTGTTAAATGAGTTTTGCCCCAATTTATGACCTTTCAGACCTCAGTTGTTAAGTGAATCACTGCAGTTGATAAGTTAGTAACCCGGTTGTTAAGTGAATCTGGCTTTCCCATTGACTTTGCTCATCAGAGTCCCAAAAAGTGATCACATGACCCTGGGACACTGCAACTGTCATAAAGATGAGTCAGTTACCAATCATCTGAATTTTGATCATATGATTATGGGGATGCTACAAAGGTTGTAACTGTGAAAAATGATCATAAGTCCCTTTTTTCAGTGCCATTGTAACTTTGAACAGTCATTAAATGAATTGTTGTAAGACGAGGACTACCTGTATTTTATCCCAATATCAAACCTGTGAGGTGAGTTGGACTGAGAGAAAGAATGACTAGCCCAAAGTCACCCAATGAGTTTCCATGGCTGAGGAGGCATCTGAACCTGGATCCCTCTGATCCCAGTCTAGATTCTTGATCACTACATCACAGTGGTGGCCTCTCATATGGAGACCCTCACACTAGCTGCCTTGAGCTTCCAAAACATGGGCAATATGCTCTATGTTTATTCTTCTTTTCTTCTTCTTTTCTGGAAAAATAACATGTGTGGGCATTTCTATAATTTTATGAATTTGGCTTGTATTGGAGTGAATGACTTGGGTATAGTATGCAAATGGACACTAGCTCATTAATGAATGAATGATGCTACCTAGTTTGGTAATGAAACATCCACAAGACAATAACCAAGCTCAGAGAGCACCAAGAACCCCACAGTTCAATCCTGAGCTACAAATACTCTCTTCTATCGAGACTTTAGTTCACTTATAAATGAAATGCCTTTTAAAGGCAATTAATTTAATCAACAAATATCCATTCAATTCATATTAATGTATTTTTCTTCCCCCTACCCCATTGGAGTATGCACATCTCCAAATGTGTCACACGTACGTGGGGGGGGGGATTTTTAGGACTCATTTCAGCTAGAGTTAGCATTATAAGGACATTTACAATATAAGGAAACTAAGCAATGCACAGGATTAACATGTATGTGGTATAAGTGCCTTGGTAGTACAGTGGTGTAAGGCACCCTGTTATTAAGCTGGTTATTAAGACCAGTTGCCTGCAATTACTGCAGGTTCGAATCTCGCCAAGGCTCAAGGTTGACTCAGCCTTCCATCCTTTCTAAGGTATGTAAATTGAGGACCCAGTTGTGGGGGCAATAAGCTGACTTTGTATAAATATACAAAAGGATGAAGGCTATTGCTGAGCACATTGTAAGCTGCCCTGAGTCTCCGGAGAAGGGCGGCATATAAATCAAATTAATAAAAAAAATAAAAAAATAAAAAATAAATAAAATAAATAAGCATGTACATTGCCCTCACATGGACAGTTGTTATTTTAAAATTAGGATTGCCTTCTTTTCACATACGTTCAGTAAATTGAATAAATAAATGAATGAGCCATAAACCATGAAAATATCTTATGCAGCACTGTTAGTAGTCCAACAGAAGAAAAAAAGCAAATATTCAGGGCAAGAAGGGGAACTGGCCACACGTTTTAGAGTTTACTTAATCATAACCAAATTATCCTTCCTGCTTGAATAAGAAAAGTTACAGATTGCACAGAGCTGCTGTGCTCAGATCCTTTTATAATTCCCCTATTCACATCAGATACAGCAGAAATTTTCATTGTATAATTTGAAAGTTTGCAATATCCAAAATTTCTGACTGAATGACAATATATAACACTACTATATTCAGAATGCAAACTCCTGCAGCTAATTTTGAACTATGCCCAACTAATACCTTTCTAACTGTTGATGTCACATGACACCACAAGGCAAACATTGCCCCCTAAGTACCTGTAGGTGATGTTACAACACAAATACAAAAGAGGGGACCTTGTGTAGTATTGTCACAATATATGTTCTGCCATTTTAACAATATTGTGATTTCTTGCCTCAGTTTCAGTGTTAGCCTTGCACTTTGGGGATGTTCACACAACTTTAGCCCCTATCTTTGATATGCACCACCCAGAGGTGGGTTTCAGCAAGTTTTGACCAGTTCTGGAGAACCAATAGCGGAAATTTTGAGTAGTTCGGAGAACCGGTAAATACCACCTCTGACTGGCCCGGCCTCCATCTATTCTCTGCCTCCCAGTTGATCGGGAGGAAATGGGGATTTTGCAGTAACCTTCCCCTGGATTGGGGAGGAAATGGGAATTTTGCAGTATCCTTCCCCTGGGGTGGGGTGGGAATGGAGATTTTACAGTATCCTTCCCCTGCCACACCCACCAAGCCATGCCCACCAAGCCACATTCACAGTAGTAAAATTTTTGAAACCCACCACTGGCACAACCTAACATCTAGGACTTGTCACATTCTGCCCAAAAGATAAACTTGCCATACCTGGTTTTTGTTCAGCTCACAGTCTTTGTACTCAGTTTCACCCTGCTCCTGAAAAGTTACAATGATGAAACCTACAAAGATGTTCATCATAAAAAAGGCAATGAGAATGAGATAGATTATGAAGAAGATAGCAATGCCCATACGATAATTGTATATAGGGCCCATGTCTTCAGTGTGCGTATCAATTGCTTTATACAATAGTCTGGAAAAGAAAGGACAGAGATTCCAAATTAATTGACATAAATAATTGAGCTTTCAAAAGTTCAATCTTAACAGGTTTCTAAACAATTAATTTAATGGTGAATATACAGTATGTACACCGGTAACACATAATTTTCCAAAATGGTACTGTGAGGAAAATAGTACATTCTGTTCAATGATCAAACCACAATATGATAATCTTTATTCCAATTATCTCATTGGTTATGATAATAACAAATAATATAATTTCTATGCTTAAATACAGTAAATGCCCCGAACAGCAATTTGTGCATACTGCTGATAAGATTGTTAGTGATGTGCCCACAATTTCCCCTTTCTGTGCCATTTTGCTTATACAATAATAGCTAGGACAAAAGGAAACAGTGGCGTTCCATAGGATTCCACTAAATCAATTTTCCAGAGTTGATGGGACTGTATCATGGCACTGGCCACATTGGCTGGGAATTCACGGAGCTGAAGTCTAGGACATTTTGAGGATACCATGATGAAGATGACTAGTCTAAATATTCCTAGCAACACCCCACCCCCCCCAATACACACACATATAAACACCCTTTCTCCATAGTGGATTCTGTACTCACTGAGGCCATCCTTCAAAGGTGGATACAGTGAAGAGAGACATCATAGCTGATAAGACATTGTCAAAGTGGAAATCATTGTGCAGCCACCTCCTTTCTTCTTCCACAACCTGTGTTGGATCAGCATCAACGTACAAAATGAAGTGTCCCCTGGGATGAGAATCCATATATTAGCTACAAAGAGCCTAAATCATTGAGTCAGCATATAAAATATAACAGTGATGCCTACTTAGAAATACTATAAGCAATTTTGTTTGAGGGATATATATTTCCAATTTAATAGATATAACATTGCAGCTTTAATTTCAATTCTGTTGAACAAGCTACTTATTTTTGGCCTTCAATATAGTAAGGAATTTTTTTCTTTCAGTCAGTCATTTATGACTAATTGATCCATGGTTCAATTAATATTTTATATTTTCTTAATATCACAATGCAAGAAACAGTATAAAAATGGCTTCTGCCACCTACACGTTAATAAACCTTTCAGAAACAAGTACACTGGACAGTAAAAATTAATTACTGAACATCCATTACGGAAGATTAAGAAAATATATGTTATTAGTTTAGAGAAAATTCAGATGGTTATTAGCTTACATTGTATTTGTTTAGTTGCATAAGAACAATTCCAAATTATTTTTATTATAATATAACTATTATAATAATAATAATATTTGGGCTTCTCATTAGATGTATTCTAAGAGCTTAAGGCATAGGAGGAATGTTTATCAAATTTTAAAATCCAAATCTCACAGAAAAATGAGATGTGAATCTTTCTAACTTTATCTTGCATTTAAGTGCTTAAATGTTAAACTGCCTTGTGCCTAGAAATGAAAGGGAAGCTATAGGACAGTGATGGCTAACCTTTTTGCCATCGTGTGCCAAAAGCGGGGGGAGTGGGGGGGTCGTGCACACCCATGCCCACACCCATAATTCAATGTGCCCCATCCCCCGCGCTCCCCCACTTTTGGCACGCAATGGCACGGTGGGCTCAGTAGGCCTGTTTTTTGCCCTCCCCAGGCTCCAGAGGCTTTCTTGGAGCCTGGGGAGGGCAAAAACAGCCTTCCCCAGCCCTCCAGAGGCCTTCCAGAGGCTGGAAACGGTGGGCCCGGAAGGCCAGAAAATTAGCTGGCCGGCACGTACATGTGCGCTGGAGCTGAGCTAGGGCAATGCTCGCGTGCCCTCAGATATGGCTCCACGTGCCACCTGTGGCACGCGTGCCATAGGTTCGCCATCACGGCTATAGGAGAACAGCAGGCAGAAGTGGTGGCGGGGGACAGAGCTAAATGCATCATTAACTTAGAGTTCTTAAGTTCCCACAAATGGTCCAAATCCAACCCCTTCTGAATTCTGTTGACCCTTATTTGGCACCAGTTTAGTGTTGAACTTTAGTTGGCTAGATACTTGTGTATAGACTTTAATGAATCTTCTGTGCTGCAACTTAATGGCTGGTTCTGATCCTTTGCACCTGACAATCTCCTTGAATCTAACCTTCAGGAAAGAATCGTGCTGTAATGATATGTTTCTGAAGTGAAGAAAAGAATGATATACAACCAAAGGGAGGCGTACCGGCATTCTAATTCGGTCATTTTAGTTGAATCTGTACAGCTGTAGAACTTCCCCTATATTTAAAACAGAAACCAAAATAATTATTAATTGTGTTAGTCTTACATTATAGAGTTATAGTGTTTCCCAGATGATATTAGATTTGACTTGTTTTAAAAATGAGCATCTCCTGCTACAAATGATGGATCAAAGATGGGTTTCTGTTCTTGAAGAGGAAATGGAAAGAATTCCTGTTTCCTAAAAGAGTTTACTGCCATGCCAAATAGTAATAGCATTGAAAGAGACTAATATGTTCCCAGTCTTATCTACAACTGGATGGAGGGGGGCTATTTAATGTGCTGATATTATTGTAGTATACCTCTAAGCATTAGCAGGCCAAATATTAGCATGTGGACCGTTACGTGTGCCCCTAGAACAGCCCATATTATACCTTTGCTCCTTGAGCTTCATTGGCTGCCAGTTTGTTTCACATCCAATTCAGGGTGCTGGTTTTAACCTTTAAAGTCTTCATGACACAGGACCAGGTTATCTGAGGGACTACTGCCTCTCCCCAATTTTATCAGTCCAGCCCAGCAGAGAGAGCATACTATGGATACCACCTGCCAGAGACCTACATTTTGTGGGTCCCAGGTAACAGGTTATCTCTGCCATGGTCCCTGCCTTCTAGAACATTCTTCTCCACACCAGTATTAGATCAGCTCCATGTTTTGATGTTCCAGAAGTCCCTCAAGGCCTATTTTTGCCATTAGTCTGGGAGTCCCAGCAAGCAGAGACCTGTTTAGATAGCTCCAGTATTGAGATTGGATGTATTCATTCTTTCTCTTCTTGGGATCTGTATATATTTTTAATAAATTTTTAATTTTGATTTTTATATTTAGACGCCCATTTTTTAAAATGTATTTTTATTTATTATTGAACACTGCCCAGAATCCGTTTTTATGAGTTGGGTGGCTATATAAATTTGATTAATAAACATCAGCTGCTCTTTCATGTCTTCAACTGCATAGTCTTGTCTAGTTATGTAAGCTTCAGATCAAAGTTATCCCTTGTATTCTGTTCCTAGCTCAGTATGGCTGGGAAAGTTGTAATCCCAGTATTTCTGGAAGGCATCACACTGAGACAAGTGGAATAAACTCAGAAAAACAGGATTATTGAGTCAGCAGCCTGAATCAGTGATGTCCAAAAAACTTAAAAAAACCAACCCCACCCCCCCCCCCCCCCCCCCCCCCGATAAAAAAAAAAAAAAAAAACCCAGCTACCCAGTTATTGCCAACAGGTTTGCAATACATGCCTATGGAACACGACAAAATGAGAATTAATTCTTAGAAATGCTTTCACCTTGAAGAGCTGCACTGCAATGCAAGCAAACATGAACTGTAGCAAGAAGGTGACAAGAACAATGTTGCCGATGGTCTTAATAGCCACAAAAACACACTGGACCACATGCTAGAGAGGAAAAAAAAAAGGAGGGGTGAGAAAGAGAAAGAGAGAGAGAGATTGTTTTGTTTATCTGTTCGATCATCTAATGTCCCAGCAGACATTAAGAGATTTATAAATTTGATATTCACAGTTCCAGATATCTGGAGTTTGTTAGTTTAGGTAAAGTATGCCACAATTCTACATTAAGCATTCTAATAGCTTATAAATGGCATTCAAGACTTAGAAATATGGACATATAACACTTTCTCCTTGTTTATGTCGCAGTGATGCTTACCTTCAGTCCCTTTGCTCTGTTAATAGCTCTCAATGGTCTCAGTACTCTGAGCACCCTCAAGATTTTCACCACTGAGATGGTACTGGACCTGTTGCAGGAAATGGGAAAGATTCTTTACTATGCTTTTGCAACCTTTGTGGTTACATTCATAGTCCTGCTGTCAAAGATATTGTGTGCCTAGGAAGATATGACCTTGACGTTATTTTTAGGAAAGGCTTGGGGCACTCCCAGAATAGGAAGGGAGGTCAGAGAATTCTATGTGGCTGCCTAATTCCCAGCATGCCTTGTGAAAACTCGTCAGAAAAGAGCTCCATGAAAGACATGCTTCAGACCAGGCATAGCTATACATCCGTAACATTTCCCCCCAGCCCACCTCAAAACTCAGCTCTGCTTTCAGGAACTAGATAACAGCGAAAGCCTTCAGGGATTGATGTGGCAAATAATAAGTAGCTTTATTGTAGAAAAGAAAGAAGTACATGCGCAAGAACTACCTACTTTAGAACATAGAAATAAATTTCCATATAGAAGGATCCAATCCAGGTCGGTCACCCAGTGATCGACCCAGATTGGATCCTGGAACATTATCCTGGGACCAGTATATTTGTCTTCATTCGTCTCATGTGGAAGTTGGAGACCAAGTTGTTCTTAAGCCTCTTTCTCCCACACTTTTGCATCAACTTCTGGCCATTCATTTCTCAGCCTTGAGATTGGAGTGCACCTGTTCTATGTTTACACAACAGAACTGCTGGTCTGAGCAAGACTGGTTCCTGCCTTGCCAATTTTATACCTAATTTCAGATGAAAGCAGAATAGCTATCAGCTTTAAGTAGCAAAACAGGGACAACATAGGAACTGTAGCCTGTAACATTCAAATGCCATCTCAGCCTAGATTACTGAGGAACAGAAGAATTGTTCAAACTGTAATATGTTATCTATCCACCAGCTACTGCAATCAATCACTGTAACTAAAAGAAACCTTTGAAGGAAATTTGTGTAAATAAGCAGGGGGGAAAAAAGACAAAAAATACATCTGTTAAGTTTTCAAAGTCTTTGCATAACCAGCAGTCAATTGGATTAAACTGTCAGTGCTAAATATACCTCTAGTTTTCATTTTGATTTCTTTTTTTCTGACTGAAAGAAAGGATAAAAATAGCTTTTTTACTGTCAATATTTTGACCGACATTGGCTGTGAATAGCAATAGCAATAGCACTTAGACTTATATACCACTTCATAGTGCTTTACAGCCCTTGCTAAGTGGTTTACAGAGTCAGCATATTACCCCCAACAATCTGGGTCCTTAATATTGCTATTACAGAACGTCAATCTTCCAAATCATGAAGATCTCAGTTAATGAATTGTGGTTAACATGTTTGTATAAAATAATAAATACATTTTGCATTTTCAGAAATCTATTTTAATATTCCTACATTTTATATTCAAAGTAGTCCTTACAGCAGTAAGTAGCTTGGTGCCCTTCAGGTGTGCTCAACTAAATCTCTCACAATTTCTTACCATTTGCCATGCTATCTACTAGTGGTAAAAGTTGCTCCAAAATATTGGGAAGATACCTTCTTGTCAAACCCTCCGGTAACCAAACAAATGTACTTTACAAATATTCATATAACCAATCCCATGCTACTCTCCTGAGTTATTGGATTACTATAAATCGTGCATGGTCTACAAGAAATCTCAGAGTAACCTATTGGAAGCCTTGCCTGTCTATGATCCACTTACTCAAGTTTCATGGAGATGAGTGAGACAACAACTACAAGCAAGTCTAGCATGTTGAAAGAATTACGACAGAAGGATCCTTTGTGAAGAAATGCACCATAAGTAGTCATCTGTAGGAAACAAGAAGATTCAATTAGCTTTGATAAATCTAGCATTGTGTTTCTTTTTTCTATCTGAAATTAAGATGACCTTTTGAAAGACTATCTACTGTTACACAAAATGAAGCAGAAATCAGAGGATGAAATAAACTCAAGAGAGTAACTAAGACTAGAAGGTAACTGTATTTGTAATTAATAACAAACAAAGTGTTGATAGCAATGAAAAGTCCAGCCTTCCATTTGTGGGGTGCCACAGTGCTTGGTCTTCTCTTCCATTTAATATCTACATGAGGCCACTGAGCAAGGGGTTCCAATGGTTTGAAGTGAGGCAGCATCAATATGCTGATGATACCCAGCTTTATGTCATCACCCCATGCCACCTCAGTGATTCTGTTGATGTCCTGTCCCAGTGCCTGAAGGCTCTGGGGCACAATGGGTGTCCCAATGCTCAACCCAAGCAAGGCTTTGGATACTTGGGCCTTCTGGTGCAAGGGTTTTCCACCTTTGGTCCTAGATGGATGGTATTTCCTCAGATGGACCCACTGCACAATTGGGTCCTTTTGGACTGACAGCTCCTACTAGAAAAGCAGGTGGCAGCCATGGCTAGGAGGGTCTTTGCACACCTTTAGATTGTGTGACAGTTATGCACATTCCTAGACCAAGAGACTCTGCTCACATTCATTCATGTTCACATGACCTCCCATCTGAATTATTGCAATGTGCTCTACATGGAAGAGCATTCAGAAGCTTCCATTCATGGAGAATGCAGTTGCATAGGTAAACAAATCAGGTATTCAACCAGGGCCGGATTTAGATGAAAAGAGGCCCTAGGCTATTCCACTTATGAGGCCCTTTCACCTATAGTGAAAGTGTAATTTTAATTTTGCTAACAATTTGAATGTAGGCCCCTCTTGATCTTGCGGCCCCCTCTTGATCTTGAGGCCCTAGGCTGAAGCCTAGTTAGCCTATAGGAAAATCCGGCCCTGTATTCAACACATGTAACATGTTACATTGTGAGCTTCATTGATTTCCAATGTGTTTTTGGGTGCTATTCAGGGTGCTGGTTGTCATCTTAAACTCCTTCATGGCTTGGGACCAGGTTACCTAAGGTACTATCTTCTCCCAGTTGTTTCTATCCATCCAATTCAGTCCAGCAGGATGTCATACTCTGGGTTCTTTCAGCCAAGGAATGTCAGCTGACAGTGACTAGGAGGTATGCCTTCTCTGCCCCTTAACCCTAACTCATCTTTGAAACATTCTCAACCCTATTGGTCTTTTGTAAGGCCTTGTAGACCTGGTTATCGGCCCAGAATGTTAAGGACTCTGTTTCAGGTTTATATTAATAAGTTATTATTTTTCTTGGCTGCTACACATATTTATTTTTTGGTATTGTGTTTGTATTGTGCTTCATTGTTCACTGCCCAGAGGGACTTATTTGAGATGGGCAGCCATAGAAACTGAATAAGAAATATCCAATCCTTCCAATATTATTTTGAAAGAGAACAAGTCAACTCACCTTTAGAATAATTTCCACTGTAAATACAGAGGTGAAGCCAATGTCAAAATATGATAGAATCTGGAAAGGACCCCCCACAAAGAAACAAAAAGTTATTTTTGTCAATAAATGCAGTTGCAATTCTGCCAACACTCACACTAAACTCTAGTAAAAATATGTGAAATGAATTGGCAACAGATAAAAATATCAACGTTTCTACTTACTTACGGTAAACCAAATTTGTTAGATCTTGAATGAGGTATAAAACAAAGCTTAATTATGATGCAGTTTCTATAAAGCCTGCAATGCAGCAACAAGGACCAGAGAGGGCTGTCACATTAATTATATGACTATTACCGGACACTTTTCCATCAGTAATGTCAAACTTTACTGCCTAAACATTTTTTTAAAATGTTCAGACATTTTAAACTAAAGTTTATTTATGAAGGTGAATATTTTTAGTTTACATGTATTATTTTCTCTCTCTCTCTCTTTTGCAATGATAGGTGCTTATCGGTATGTTGAGTACCTCTCTATTTTTTTTCTTTTTAAGCAATTAGATAATTAATATATTTTATAACTCAGTTTATCTTGGAAACAAAATGATTTTAAACATGCTTTACGTTAATGAGAATATGTTTCTAGTAGATACACAGAATTTAAAATGTCTATGTTTGATAGCAGAAATTGCTATCACTACCTATATATCTAATGGCAGTTCATACATGCAAACTTGTCTCTTATTTTGATCTATTTTGCCTACTTATTCTCTTTGACATATGGCTTTTGTTGCTACCAATCTACATAGTGCCATTCACTGCTTGCACGTAATCACAGCATAAATGTACAACTTTTTAGTGCTATGTTCCCATATTCTTGTCTTTGTCTCATCCATAGGCCATACATATTTTTAGCTGTACAATTGTTAAAGTAGTGTTTTCTCCCTTATTCCAATATTATCCAAGGGTGCCTTAAGGTATATACAATTTGCTCTGCTTTGTTACCCAGTAACTTGGAGGGAAGTCAAGCAATGCAGTGACCTGAAGCAGTGGCAGGATAGCTGTTGGCAATGGGGTCAACACATTTCACAACAGCATTCTTCTTCAACTGAAGGATGGTAGAATACCAGTTCAATTCAGCATCATGGAGGGGACTCAGGCGAAGCTACAATGCATGCACGTATTTCATGGCTCTGTCTGGATCAATCTTGCCCAACCTGATGTTCTCCAAGTTGTTATGTGATGAGATTACAACTTCTCTGATTCCAAGACAGCATTCTTGGGATTGCTATCACAAACCATTGGAGAGTACCAGGCTGGGGAAAGATGGTCTGTAATCAGCCACATTTACCATGCTACCGGTAGTAGTAAAAAAAATGTTACATCTTTTTACCTGATTCCTGAATGAGTCTGCTCGAATTGGGTCTTCTGCTGCCAATGAGATGCTGCTGAGCAGAATGAAGAGGAGGATAAAGTTGGTGAACCAGGTGGCATTGACACATCTATGGCACAGCACCCGGATCCTGGAAAAAGTAAGACATGGGGAGAAAGAGAATTAAGTATATATTGCTTACGCTGGTATTCTGATCAGAAGACCCCTGAATGAAAGTTCATATATGAACAGAGGAAGAGGAACATGCTAAGAACAGACCATTTACTTAATAGGAAATGGTGGGCTCCGTGTCACTAATGGGTAGGGCCACATCCATGCATATGGGTAGGTCTTGGATTTTATGCTTCTTTCTGGCTTACTGTTCTTTAAATTCCCTTAAAGTTTGCATTATAATTTTGCTGTTTCCTGGGAGTTCAGTCAAACGCAGCTCTGGAGCCTTCAAAAGAGGATCTGAGAGGCTGGAAGTTGCCTCCCTGCCTCCCTTATATTACTAGATAAGATTTAATTTCTGAGTATTAAGCAGCGAGGAATGTTTACCAGATTGCAATTTATTTCATTTGTATTTGTTATTTGGCCAAAAATTAAATGATGGTCTTGGGGCAGCCACCTTACATTTTACTTGTATTTTAATCCAGTTCAGAAATGGAATTACAAAGGGAGCTGTTCTGACTTACAATTTTCTTAAACAGGAACCAGAGTTGTACAGCATTACAATTTTGTGTCTGATAACTACACCATCAATAGGTGGCTGCTCCTTTTCTTATGATCACCGTAAGATTTTGACCCTTGCAGGAGTGACTAAAGTTCTCCCTGAAATCCAGTTGTCCTCCACCCTGCTGGTATTTCGGAGAGCCCTGAAGACCAGGCTCTTCACCCAGGCCTTTGGGGTGACTGAAGTTTCCTTCTTCAGGTAATATGGATTTGTTTGTTTGTTGCCTGATTTGTGCCACCTTTTATTGTTTTTTATTATTGTATTGTTTTATTATTCTGTATCTGTGGGGTTTTTTTTTCCTGTGAAGTGCTCAGAATTTTTAGGAGTGTAAAAATTTAATTAATTCAATAAATAAAATGATAAATATAAAGCAGAATCCATGCTTTGATTGTGCATTAAAAATCATAACACTCTTCAATCCATTTTACATTGTTGTGCCTGAGAATTTATTATCCTGATTCACTAAAAGTTCAGGGTTCATTGTTACATATGTTAAATTGTAATCTTCTGCTCTGAGCCAATGGTATGATGGATATTAGACAGGAATTCACTCAGAGGCCAACTTTTGATGCTAGAAATTGGGAAGGCTGAAAGGAGATTGGTCATACCAGCAAAGAAGCACTTTCACACAAATAGGCCCAAATTAATCAGGTGATCATCCATAAACTCCTGAGCTGTTTCAGATGTTAGATCTGACTGGCTAAGTTGCCATGTTGTATAAGAGGCAGAGAAACTGTCATGCTAAGAGCTCCAAGCTGTTCAGTAATATATAGCATATTTTTAACATAATTCTTCCCATCTGTGTAATACTGAGATGAGAGATATTGCACCATTGTTATTTCTGTCTCCAAAGCTTACACTCTATCCATTTTTGACAGAAAAACATCAAAAATGTGAAAATCAAAATATCATTTGAGAAGTAAACATCTTATAGGACATTCAGTTTTCTCCCACTTCAGTACTTTTAATGGTTGTGGTAATAGCTTTAATTACTATTCACAGAGAGTTGGAAGACCAATATGCTTGTTGAGAGGGAGGGAGGGAGGGAGGGAGGGAGGGAGGAAGGAAGGAAGGAAGGAAGGAAGGAAGGAAGGAAGATAGAAGATAGGAAGGAAGGAGGCATACTTGTTGGTTGGGCTAAAGATGAAGAATGAACTTGCGTCAGGCATGGGCACTGCTTTTTCTTTTAACTGCAGCTCAGCTAGGGGACGTGGCCTAGGGCTCAGGGGGATTTCAGGTTCATCTTCCTCATCATCACCTGTAGAAAAATAGTCACAGAAAAACTTAATGTTCACCTTTTTTCTGCTAGTAATTAATTGTAGATTTCCAGCAAGCAGGGCTGGCGTGAACCCCGCCCCCCTTTTTTAGTTTTTAATGGTTATTAATTGTTTAGTTTTAATTTGTTAATGGGTTTTAATTCGTACTATTTTAATTCGGGCCAAAGTATATAATTCTTTTAATTAATTTTAAATTTTGTATTGTTATGTATTTTAGTTTTGGCTATGCACCGCCCTGAGTCCACTAGGAGAAGGGCGGTATATAAATTGAATAAATAAATAAATAAATAAATAAAGCTCCTGAAAGTTTTCAACATTATTTTTGTACTACTCCAACAACCATGTACTTTCCAGTCTTAGGTCCTACTAAGACTCAAGAACACTAATTGCCATGTTAGGTAATATACTTATTACAAATTCTTTCCTTCTCTTTTATTCAACCTGTGACGGAATTGGCAAGAATAAATGGCACTGAAATCTTCTTACCTGGGAAGTCTGCAGAAGGATATGGGTCCTTGATTTCATTGACATTTGATTCAAACTCATCCACTTTTAACTAAGCAGGGGAAAAGTTAAAAAGAAAATTAAGTGCTGCAACTCTATTACAATATTGCTGAACAGTGCTACTTGGCTGAGACTCTAAGAGCAGAGCAAAAAAAGAGGATTGATTGACAAGCAACCATATATCTAAATGGATGCAATTGAAATGGCATCCAGGACTACTTTATATACATATGGACTTATTTGTGAAATCACTATATGGCTTGGTTTATATATGTCTTTGTTGTATAATATTGGATGGTTGTTTTATTGAATAACATTCTATTACATAAAGCAGGGGTTCCTAATTTTTTTTTGCAGTCGCATGCCTCTTTATTGAAATCTTAATGATACACCTCTCTTAAAAATCCAAACACTAAAATAAACACAAGTGAACAATGAAAACAATACAAGGAAAGGTTGGGAAAGGTGGGTTTATGGTAACAATGGGAGGGAGGTGCACCTCAAATTTTGGGAAATCCTGCAATAAAATCTGCATGCTTTTTAATAAAAAGTAAAGGGTCTGCTGGATATGAATGTGCCCTCCAGAATATTGTCACTGGAATGAAATAGCAAATGCATATCACACCTATATATTTTTTATTAATGATATTTTGTCACCCTTTACATAAAATAATCACTTTCTTTGAGGAAAATGTGAATGAGGACTTCAGGCACCAAATAAATACCACACACAGAACAGGCCAAAGCCCACACTCTGCTAGAGAGAAGTTCCCTGAAGATGTGTTCCAGTACGAGACCGAAAGCTCAGAAGACAAAACTGCTGGTCCTGGTTACCTGGTGACCAGATAAGATCCTTTTGTCCTTAAGACCAGCATACTCTCATTTACTGTTCTCAGTCACAGCATGATTCAAATGATTAGTATCAAAAACAAGAGGGTAATTCAATCCCCAGGGAATTCATTTCCCAGGAAAATTCATCTGATGGGAGTGGTAACTTGTAAATAAGTCTTGCAAGCTTTCTCGGTGTTACACTTTGTTAAGATGGGTAACTACAGTAATGGCTTTCACAAGCTGCCTTTAACATTCCCAACATCAGATGTGCCTTGTTTTTCTTCTCTGAACTGGGGATAATGCCTCCTATTGGGAAAAAGTCTGGGACAGAAGGGAAAAAAAATATGTAGAGCTGAGTAGGGGGAAAAAAATCTAGGGCGGTGCTTACTATTTCTGTAGAAACCTGATAGAAGATGAAATAAACTTTAGAATATGTGTGAGAATGTTTAATGCTACCCACACACATACACACACTAGATCCGTGATTGCGAACCTATGGCCCGCGTGCCACAGGTGAGCCTTGCCCTAGCTCAGCTCCAGCGTGCATGCGTGCGCCGGCCAGCTGATTTTCGGGCCTTCTGGGCCCACCGGAAGTCGGAAAACGGTCCATTTCTGGCCTCCGGAGGGCCTCCGGGGGGTGGGGAAGGCCGTTTTCGCCCTCCCCGGGCTCTAAGAAAGCCTCTGGAACCTGGGGAGGGCGAAAAACGGGCCTACCAGGCCCACTGTGCCACCGCGTGCCAAAAGCAGGGGTTGCATGGGGGGTGGTGTCTGTGTGCACGTACGGCAGGTGGGGCACATTGAATTATGGGTGTGGGCACGCGCATGCATGACCCCCCTGCACTCCCCCCGCTTTTGGCACATGATGGCAGAAAGGTTAGCCATCACTGCACTAGATAGATAGATAGATAGATAGATAGATAGATAGATAGATAGATAGAGAGAGAGAGGGAGAGGGAGAGGAAGAGAGAGAGAGAGAGAGAGATTTGTGTAGCCTCAGTATTATTAAACAAACTATAATCAAATGACAATGGATTTAACTTAAAAGGAATGAGAACTAGGTAAATGTTTGTGATCTTAGAAACTTTCATCATTAGGAGAAGCGAGAAGTGAACAGACAATAACGATATTGTCTGTTCTTAACAAAAAATATTCTTTTTTTTTAAAGAACATTTATCTTCAAAAGCTGAATGCAAATACCTAAACAAACAAAGACATTGCTAAAGAGATGAAGTGCAGCACTGGTAGCTGCCATCCTTGTCTGACCTTAGCTGTGGTGGGAATTCCTTCTCCCTTTGCTTTCTGTTCCAGCTTCTTGGCCAACAATAGCTTTTCTTCTTCAGATTTCTCAGGATAACCTCTACAGAAAAGAACCAAACAGCAAGGGGAAAGGGAAGAGAAGCCAGGTAGAATGGAGTAGGGGAGGCGTATTAAAGAAGCTTAGAGTTACAACAGTTGACATAGAGCAATCTAGAACCCCAAAGGTATGAATGTCAGAAACAGCAGCAGAAGGAAGAACTGACCTGGTCATTTTCTTCCACATCTTCTCTTCAGCTTTGGCTTTCTGAGCAGATGTTAATGTTTCTGCCTCAGCCAGGTTGTCCACAGCAATAGCCAGAAAGACATTGAGCAAGATATCTAACGTAGGAAGGGGAGAAAAGCTAAGGAATTTTACTGTGTGGATTTACATCATACAGAAATGATGGATCAAGACTTCTATGAGTCTCTGAAAGTTTCACTTGATAACAGGTTATACTTAGCCAATTTTCTAATATCATCAAATCTGAAAGATTGGAAGAAAATCAGGGCTTAGGAAATGGACATATTGCCATTATTGCAAAATGTGGGATATTGTTCCTTTTGTCAAAACTGTGAATAGACAAGGCCATCCCTTGGGTGAGGCCTTCTCATATACACCCCTGATGTGACATGCAACATCATGCATGGTTATGGACAAAACAATAAACAAAGCAAAAAAAAATCCATTCCCCATTTTAGCAACTGTGTATATAAGGGCGAAGGAAAGAGACAGCTGACATTCAATCAGCCAGTGTGCAGAACAAATCAGATAATGAAAGTGAAATCATTATCATATGTAATCATATGATCATATCACTGGATCAAACTCTGATCAGTATTTGATACTACTGAACATGTTAAACCATTATTTTTCAACTTTAGCAATTTTAAGATGGGTGGACTTCAACTCCTAGAATTCCCCAGCCAGCTCCTACCCGTGATACAATTATACATTCTTTGCAATTTTTCCATGCACATCCTGCTTCCATATGGAATCACTAACTTGCATAAAATAGAAGACGGTAATCTATTTTTCCAAGTAACTGAGGATCTCCTATTTATGTTAGTGGTCACTATATTTTGAGAAGGGCATTACTGCATTGCATTTTATGGCAATATTTTGTAAGAATATCTTACAGTCCATCACTAGTCAAGTATTTAAATATATGAACACTGTTTAAAGAAAGGATACAGTTTCCACATACAAATAGAACAATAAAATAAATGCAGACCAGCACACCAGGATAGACAGGCCCTCCATAAGCCATAATCCCATTGTACATGATAGTGGTCCAGTCTTCCCCAGTCAGGACCTAGGAAGAGACAGAATATTTTGAAAGCACCGGAAATCATGTAGAAATATTTGGCTTTCAAACAAGAGTGAATGTCTAACTCTCCTTCAGCGTGTTGGAGCCTGGGTAATTGATTAATTATGAGTTCAGCCATATTTCCTCTGGGGTTTAGGAGAGATGATTTCTCATTGTTGGGAACTCCCATCTTGTCCCACCTCCCAGCTGCTGAATTTCCTCACTCTATAGACAAAGCACTGTTTTGTTACTAGTCCTTTGCTCCTTCCTGCATAGTGGCCAATTGAGTTCCCACTTTTTCTTTCTTCACCAAGAAAAACAAAGGAAAGCAGAGAGGAATGAGGGGAGACATATCAATTGAGGCTTATGGTTGTCCAGAAAAGCTGTATGTATTGTAGTCGCATTTTGCTCTCTGTCTCTCTGTCTCTCTCCCTCCCAACTTTTCTCTTGCTCCCTCGCTCCCTCCCACCTTCTATCTCTCTCCCTCCCTCCCACCTTCTCTCTCACCTTCTCTCTCTCCCTTCCCTCCCTCCCACTTCTCTCTCTCTCACACACACACACATACACACACAAAGACACTGCCAAATGTCCTACTTATTTCAGAAATTATTCCACAACCTATTTTCCTGATGATTTACCCACTTAGACATCAAATTTATTTCAGAAATTGTTTCCTTATCTAAACAACCTTGACTTTAGCTGTACCTGGAAGACACTGATGAGAGCCTGGGGGAAGTTATCAAAGGTGCTGCGTCGTATTTCCGTATCATCAAAATCAAATCGCCCTCCAAAAAGCTGCATCCCTAGGAGGCCAAAGATGACCATGAAAAGGAAGAGGAGGGTGAGGAGAGAGGCAATGGAGCGCACAGAGTTCAACAGAGAAGCCACTAGGTTGTTCAGCGAGGTCCAATACCTAGAGAAATAGAGAAAGATTATAAAATTCATTATCATATCAGAGAAAGTGTGGAGTGTATGCAAATCAGCCAAGTTATCTAGCAGAGTAAGATAGGAATCTAGAAGAGTAAGATCTAAATCACTGTTCTGATCAACTACAGGTAGTCCTCGACTTACGATCACAACTGAGCCCAAAATTTCTATTATTAAGAAAGACAAGCACCATTTTACAAACTTTCCTGCCACAGTTGTTAAGTGAATCACTGCAGTCATTAAATTAGTGACACAGAATCTGGCTTTCCCCTTTGACTTTTCTTGTCGGAAGATTGCAAAAGGTGATGACATGACCACGGGACCCTGCAACCATCACAAATACATGCCAGTTGCCAAGCATCTGAACTTCAAGCACATGGCCACGAGGATGCTGCAGCAGTCATAAGTGTGAAAACCAGACAAGAGTCACTTTTTTCAATGTCGTAACTTCGAACAGTCACTAAATGAATAGTTGTAAGTCGAGGACTACCTGTATTATTACACCTGCCACTAACAGCTTATTTGTTCATAAAAGAAAGAATCGCAAGTTCTCTCAATTGATGACTTCACAGTTGAGGATGGCCATTCAAGATTGTAGCTATTTTAACAGATAGAACGGAATATATTCAGTGTAGCTCCTTAGCATAGCACAGTATGTACAGACTATTTTTGTCTGAGTCCTCCTATCACCTCCCTTCCTTGGAACCCAGTAGAGATGGAGGGGTATCTGAGGCTACCTGTCATGAGGGGAAGGGGCAAATACCATCATCCAATATTAGTTCAGCCATAACAATAAGCCCCACCCTTTGACAGGTTGTAATCAGTGGTGGGATTCAACTAATTTAACAACCAGTTCTCTGCCTAATGATTTCTTCCAACAACCAGTTCACCAAACTGCTCAGAAATTTAACAACTGGTTCTCCCGAAGTGGTGCAAACTGGCTGAATCCCACCACTGGTTGTAATGGACTGGATGGCAGAATTAATCACTGTTTTCACACTAGGAATCTTTTAAATTGTGCGTCTGTCACAGATAATAAACATACTTTATCATAAAAAAACAAGCATAAAAATAAAATTATCAATTTAATGACAAATTAAATTCTAACAATGAGTTTCAATAACAACAGTAATAATAAAGCAGCAAGTGAAAAAATTAAGACACTTCTCTCAATATTTATTTTATTAATTTAATCTCAAATGAGATATGAATATGCTGTAATCATCTTCCCTGGTCAGGATGCCCTGAAGAATAAATGCAGCAACTGAGATATCAAGTGTTCTGACTCTCAGTAATCTCAGCTGTAAGGAAAATCAGGAAGATACTATTTGTTCTTTAAAAAAAAAGTAATAAAATCTTTCTTTTAAAAAAACAATCCAATTTAGCAGCCACCACAGTTGCATCTTGTGGCAATGAATTCTCCAAAATCATTTTTTTATTGTGTGAAGAACTGTTTTCCTTTCACTCTATTAGATGGATCAATATGAATCAATTTCTTGGAGTACACAAGTCCTAAAATATAGATATACATGGGCAAGGACTTAGGAATCTCTCTCTCTCTCTCCCTCCCCCTCCCCCTCTCCCCCCTCCCCCTCTCTCTAGCATTCAGGCATGCTGAGCACTTTTGACTACGAAGATGCACATTTAACCACCTTAGTTGTCATATATATTTTCATCACTGCCATGTTGGATCTGACTATACTGTTGAATTTTATAGGGCCAGACAAATCAGAGCTCAGCATATATTTAAGGTGACTTGAGAAGAGAGGAGTAACATGGACAAGTTTCAATGTTAAGGATATTGAAGCACAATATTAAGGTTATTTCTTAGAAAGTTTATGCTGCTGTTTCTAATTAAAAGTCCAGGGTGGGTATGTATGTATGTATGTATGTATGTATGTATGTATGTATGTATGTATACCAGGGGTGAAAGCTACTTACCTTCCTTAGCGGTTCAGAAGCGCATGTCATGTGTGCGCACAGACCTTCTGTGCATGTGCAAAACCTTCTGTGCATGCGCAGAAGGTAAAAACACATTACTTCCTAGTTAAAACCAGGAAGTAATGACACCTGGGCGGGTGGGTGGAGCTTTGCTCCACCATTGGTACCGGATTGCCGAACCACCGGCCCAGATCGCTACCGGACCGGGCAATCTGGTCCGATCCGAGAGCATTTCACCCCGATGTATACATACACACACACACACACACACACGCACACATTTCTGAAGTAAATAGATCTATATATTATAACAAGGAAAACTGTATCTATCTGTCTGTCTGTCTATCTAGCTATCTAGTTTCCTTGCTATAATATATTGATCTATTTACTCCAGAAATGTCATTCTCAGCATTGACTGAGGGATCACAATATAATGTACAAACTGAAAGTGCCCTCTAAATGGAAAATCCTGTGTCCTTGTGCATTCTGACTTCATATTAAAAAAAAAAAGACTTATGGGAATAGCCCAAGGAAATATTTTTAGAAATAACTATAATATATGAATGGGATGTTTTTCAACAGTGCTCTGTTTCTCCCAGAGAGGAAACTCACTTAGTTATCTTGAAGAGTCTCAGTAGTCGAATGCATCGCAAGACAGAGATGCCCAGGGGGCTCATGGAAGTGATCTCTACCAGGATGAGCTCCAAGATCCCGGTGCACACCACAAGGCAATCAAAGCGGTTGAAGAGAGACATGAAGTACTGACGGAGGCCCAGGGCATACATCTTCAGAATCATCTCCACCGCAAAGAGGGACAGAAGTACTCGGTTAGCCACATCTGTAAGCAGAAAAGCTTCACTAGTGATGAATGGACAGGATATGTTCAGACCATCAGGTGTTCCTCAAATGCTCAAGTCCACAGAGCCAAAATAAAGTCACAATGCCACTCATGATGATGTGATTGATGCTCTGCTTGTTGTCATTTTAACAGTTCTCTGCAGAGCCCCCACCCCCCACCAGTTCTTCTTTTGGGGATTGAGGAGAAGAGCTAGAGTTCATTGAAGAGTAATCCCATGCTTCTCATCATGGGAAGACACACATGAAACTGCAAGTATTATTTTTTGGCCAAAAGCACAAGAGGATGGAGAAGTAGAGACGAGAAGATTTATTTTAAGATAAAACTGAATATATTGCAACTGGTGACGGAACAGCAAATAAATCAAAAGTGCTATGAGAATATGGTTAATAGATATGAGGCCAGTTCATTGGGGGGGGGGGAAATAGAATTTCACGAGAAGTTACAGTTTGAACAGACAATGTCACACTTCCCTGCTTTTAATCAGAATCTGAAAAGTACTGAGAAACTAAATGCCCAGCTCACCTTGGGCATGGGTCAGCCAATCAGGTTGATCATGATGCTCGGTAGCTATGGAGATAGTATTCAAACCAACAATCAAGATCACTGCCCAATAGAAAAAATTTGACTTAACAATTTCACGGCATTTTCTGCGAAAAAGACGGTTCCATCGTCGCCAGTGCCGACTAGAAGAGATTTAAAACAAGGATAAGGGCAATTAGATCTATTTCCCTGTAAAGAAAAGACATCTGAATCCCAGATCTTTGCAGTGTTTCTCAACCTTGGCAATTTTTAAGGCGTGTGGATATCAGCTTCCAGAATTCCTCAGTCAGCCTATGCTGGCTAGGGAATTCTGGGAGTTGACGTCTACAAGTCTTAAAGCTGCCAAGTTTGAAGACCTCTGACTTAAACTCACCAAGTTTGAGAAACATTGTCAAGAGAATCAATTTTGTAAGCAGGTGTGCTATGGCACCAAGTTTCAAATATGTATTACGGTACTTGCCCCCATTATAAGTAGGAAACTTTTAAACCAATGCTATTATCCAAGCATATTGGATGTATCATTTACTTCTTCACCAAAAATATGCAAATTTTCCACAGGTAATGGTTTTCCAGAGATTAAGTTAAAGAGTTCTTCAAAATGATTTGATTTATGTAACACCAAACTACAGAACATGAATTTACTTATAATTTAATGCCTCTACTTACAAGAAGAGAATCCATTTATTCATGCCTTCAATCTCATATAGGCTGTCTGTCTCTGACCCACCTTCATCTGATGACCTCATTCCTATGAAATTTAAACAAAGATAAGACACTTGCAAATTAATTAATGGAGCTATAGATTATGTTACCACAAAGTTTATTTACAGAAGTAGAAATTTATGTTAACAAATGTTGCAGAGTTCAGCAACAATACAGGAGCACATAATAGATACAAACTTAAAGTGAACCGCTCCAAACTCGATTGCAGAAAATATGACTTCAGCAACAGAGTGTTCCAATGCCTGGAACTCTGTGGTTTCATCCCAACCCCCCCAAAATTTTAACCTTAGACTGGCTACTGTTGACCTCACCCCATTCCTAAGAGTAGGGGCGTGCATAAGAGCACCAGCGTGCCTACCGTCCCGTCCTAATGTTCCCTTTAACTGTATTCATTTTATGTATTCCATTCATACTTATACTTATATATAATATTTAATACGTACTCAACAAATAAATAAAATAAATAAATAAATAAATAAAACTGTTGAATCAATCTGTCTGTCTATCTATCTATCTATCTATCTATCTATCTATCTATCTATCATAATAATGATCAGTCTCATGATGACATCAATAGTTCACCTAAAAGGCAAGTGTGGATATTTGCAAACACCATAACTTAAGCCATGTTTTTGTTATTCATTTTCATATCCTTTTCCAATGTCACCATTCTTGCTGCATTTCAGAATGGTTATGTTGCTTAGTTAGGCTTTTTAAGCAAGCAGCTTGTTCTGGAAGTTCCTGTAATTAGAAGCTTCATTGCAGAATGCTCTGGTCCATAAAATATATACTAGAAAGCTAGTTGGGCAATCCTGCTGAAGGAACACAGTACCTTCACCGCGTATCCGGTCATTGTCCATGACTTCTGCATGAGTGATCCAGTCCATGTAGCCTTTCATATCCTCTTCCAATTGCTGCTTCTCCCTCAGTTTCTGGAAGGTACCTCTTGATTTAGCTTTCTCACGCTCCTTGGTGAACTCCCTGGAATAAACTCAGATGAGCACTAGCAATGCATAGCACAGCAGTTAAGCCCATGAGAAAGGGACACCCTTAGGCAAGTCATTGAATTTTAGATTCAAAACACATAATGAAAATGCCTCACTTGTGTGGAAAATATCCCACAATCAAATCAGAACTTTCAGATTTCCCATCATAAATAATTAGATAACCTTTGGGCCTACATTTTCATTTCAAGAGCTTTCCCTTCATTTGAACTATTCAATCTGATTTTCATGTCAGTACTTGTAAATTACAAATAAAGAAGTAAATGGAGACAAGTCTCTTCAGAAAGTTAGAGAAATCTTGGCTATTTAGACAATAATTTTTTTAAAAAAATCACAAAAAATGAGAATTTAATAAAGCATCCTTTCCTGTCATGAGGCCAACTTTGAATATTAAAAAAAACAAGAAGTGTTTTTTTGGGCCATTCATTTAAGCACAAGGCCTCCTGCCCCATCTATTGACTCAGATTAAAAGAACATAGGGGTAATTTTACCATTTTACAAGTAGAATTTAAATGATTTTTTTTCTTCTGAGAATGGATTTGCTGAGATATGTAGAAACAGCTGTGTCCATCTATTTCTGGTCAAAAATCATTAAGAACAAAAGCAGCTTGTGAGAAATGTGTCAGAAAAGATTGCTTCTGAAAATTGCTCTTGTTTCTGAAAATTGCTTACCCACTGAGCACACCCAGGATCAGGTTAAGTATGAAAAAGGACCCAAGTAAGATGAGGCTGACAAAGTAGATCCAAGGCCACGCATTCCCAATGGCATCATTCACCTAAAACAAAACAGAATAGTAGATGCTGTTTTACTAAAATCATCATTATTCCCACCTTTGAAAAATCTCCACTAGCTTTCCAGGAAAAGTATGGGGAGACAAATCAAACAAAAGTGAGATTTTTTAAAATCCCGCCTTTATTATTTTTTTATAAATAACTCCTTCTTTCTCCTACTTTTACCACAACATTAGTGGACATGCATTAGAGGAAGGCAACCACAGAACTCTTCAGTTAACTGAATTGTGGCATCATTTTTCATTATTGGATTTTTTACAGCCAGGAATTATTGTAGCTAGGGTATGAAAGTACTCAAATCATATGCAACTTTGGGTAAGGGGGTCATTTATTTCTCAAACTCAAGATGCAAAGTACAGGGTTATCCAATAAGCTCATCCCACAGCTTCATATTCTATTATCAGAATAGAATAGAATAGAATAGAATAGAATAGAATAGAATAGAATAGAATAACAGAGTTGGAAGGGACCTTGGAGGTCTTCTAGTCCAACCCCCTGCTTACGCAAGATACCCTACATCACTTCAGACAAAACCTCCAGTGTTGGAGCATTTACAACTTCTGGAGGCAATCTGCAACATGATCAATCTGACCAATCTGATAAATATTATTCATGCTCAACCTACCCAGTAAAGAACTTCAGTCCACCCCTCCATGGAGATACATTGGTAGACAGTCAGCATAGCAAACCCAAAGTTATCAAAGTGAGTGATGCCATGGTTGGGCCCCGCCCATGGGCCCCTGCACTCAGAACCAGGAATAGTGCAGGGGCGTCCATGGCCTGAGGTAGAACATGGAGCTGGCTTTTCACGTTCCACAGTGGCCACGATATCTGAGGAAGGAAACAGAGAGGCAAATATGAGACTCTTTGAAGAATGGCTCATACCTCTTTGTATCCATACATCTCAATATGTGTTTAGTCTCTAGTTCTAACTGAAACTGAGTATCAGAGGTAATCATTTCACACTTATCTTCATGCAGAGATACCAGAATCAGAGGAGTCAATCTACATATTTCCTATATTTAATTCATTATGATTACATTAAGCAGCACATTCCATACCTGTCCCATTGTAATAGCAGGTCTTGTGCATTTTGCCCTTGAAGAGCTCCTGGCCCACTATGGCATAGATAATAAGCATGAAGACGACAAGTACAGCAATATGGAATAGTGGCAACATAGCCTTGATAATGGAGTTCAGTACTACTTGCAGACCTAAAACAGAAAGGAAGAGAACCGGTTGTTCATATCTTCATATCTTCTGAATTTACAGTTACTATCATATATTATTATTTGACCCCACTGACAACTTTAAAATGCCCTGTAACATTCTCTGTGGCAACTAATACAAGATGATATGCTAAATCTCATAGCAACAGACCCAACAGATCTATTGCTATGAGACCTGAACCTGTTCTCGTCAGAAAGCATCTTAAACCAGTTTCATTTCTATATCATAAGATTTCAGTTTTGATTCCCTATATGTTTCTGTAGTAGAGCTTCCATCTTTTACACTCATTGAAACAAATTGAAATAGAACATCTTGAAGTCAGTATGTTCTTCATAATTTAACATATTTTAATTCTAGTGTAAGGCAATATTGTCTGGTCTTGGCCACCATTATGCAATCCTATGTGATGAATAAGATGCCACTTGCTTATTGGTTTCTTCCTCTGCTTGCCAAGTCTTAAAACTACTGAACACAGCCTCCTAGAGATGGGTGGCAAATAAATTCATTCATTCATTCATTCATTCAATCAATCAATCAATCAATCAATCAATCAATATTTCAGAGTCTCATAAGAACTTGTCAACAGGGCTAATTCTTAGTTTAGGCTGCAAGGCTGGACTTTTGTTGAATTTCGGAGTAAATGAATACAATAAGAAAATGGCACAGTTTTAACACTATCTCCTTTGGGCTACATCTATTTGCCTCCTAATTTCCAGAAATAAGTTCAAGTGACAACATATTTATATTAATATATTATTTCTCAGGTGAAATGACTCACAGGAATTGTATCCTTTCACCACTGATTTGGCTTCCTACAGCCACCCATTTATCAAAGACCAAGGACATTTTACTCACTTGGTATCCCTGACACCAGACGTAATGGCCGCAGGACTCGAAATGCCCTCAGAGCTTTGACGTCAAAACCACCTTGCCCGCTAAGGAGCGCGCTCTCCATCAAACTGATTCTCTCCAAGATCACTGTGAAGACCCTTCAGAAGAAATGGAGAGTGAAAAAGTACAAGGTGGGAATAATGTAGAAGTCACCAGAGGAAACTAAAATATTAAAAGTTGGGCTATATGGATGAAAGATTTTCCTCCGGTAGAAGCAATAGAATTTTCCTTTTATCTTTTCCTTTGAAAAACTGTAACTGATTAATGAGGTTATTCTACATCATGTCACACGGGTTAGCAGATCTTGTTCAACCAAAGGTCATTTTGATGAAGTGGCAGAAATAGCTTTCATTTACATAATAGAAAGCTGCACGGCAAAAATATATAGTTTGCTCTCTGTTCCTATGTGGGTACTTTAATATGTTTTCCGTTTGATAGTGGCTTTATAGGAAAAAAGGTAGCAGAGTCAGCTTTTTATTGTTTGTGTCCTGTGGTAAGCTAAATGACTCATGCAGAAAATGACCACCTGTATCCATCTTTGTAGTGTACCGATAAGAGACTGAATACAGAATGTATATACTGGATAAAAGTTCTTTTTTTGCTTTGAGTCAGAGAAAATGTTGGTTTGGGATAATTTTGTACTGCAGCAGCTCCCATCATCAATGGATGGGGAGGGTGGCTATTCTCCAGTGACAGACAGAATCCCCAGATTGGGAATCATTGAATGGGGGGAGGGGAAAGTTCCCATAGGATTCAGCTGACCCACCAAGGCTACAAATTTCTGCTACATGATTCACTTGGGGCTAGATTGCTCCCTTGCTCAGATTCAACGTTATCTATTAAAACAGGAGAATAAGCAACTTGCTATTCCTGTTTTTATGAATGCATTTATAGATAGGCAGATCAATCTGTATTATGATCTTTGATACACACACACACACACACACACACATATACACTTGCACACACAAATATAAAATGTACATTAAAGAATGGATGTGGGTATGCCTTTGAGTCAATGTTGACCCCTGGCAAGTGCTTAGATAAGTCCCTGCAATTTTCTTGGCAAGATATCAGAAGGAGGCTATCCTAGAGCTGAAAGAACATGACTGACCCAATATCATCTCTGTGTCTAAGGTGGGACTAGAATTCCCAGTCTCTCAGTTTCTGACACTCACCAAACTGGCTCTGGTTGACAATAATAAGATATAAAGAAGCAAAATACTAAAGAATCAAACCACAGAGAACAAAAAAATGAAATAATACTGGAACACAGTTCAGTAGAGGTATATAACAATTAAATTGTTTGTTAATAACTTACAGTGTACTATGCAAGTTTTCAAAAATAAACTTCATTCGAATAATTTTACTTTACTTGGTTTTCCCTCCACCACAGAGAGGCTTGAATAAAATGACTTTGTTTACCCCAAAAAGACTATCGTAAAATCCAGCACATTCCAGCCATTTCGGAGATAAGCATCTGCATGGAATAGAAACCCATAGGCAATTATCTTTAGCATTGCCTCAATGGCAAATACTATCAGGAAGAAGTATTCTAGCTTCTCCTGCAAGATACAGAAAAAAAGAGGGGAAAGTTGTACAATATTAGTAATATACATTATAGTTTTATTTAGGTTGCTTGTATACTATGCTGCTTGAAAAACATTTCTTTATTTCTCTACAAGTAACATCAGTCATTGTTTTGATCTTTAAAAGACATAAGCTTCTGAAGCCTTACAAATAGAAACACAGAAAACTGAGAGTAGAAAAAGACCTAGTGGTCCATGGAATCTGCCCTTTGAGAGTTTTTTGGTGGTTTTATTTATTTATTTGTTTGTTTGTTTGTTTGTTTGTTTAGGGTTCATCACACAGTCAGCCAGATGTTCAGGCTGGATTTGGCACTTTGTTTGCCGATCAAGTCCTTCCCAAGAACCTAGGAGAGCAGATATGGATATTAGATGGTATTACAGATATTGTTGCAATTATTGTTTATCATTTTTATTTTTTATTTTAAAGTTTTATTTTATTTCCTAGTCTTTGTTAGTTGACAGATATGTTTAAACTCAGTTATTGATGAATGAATCACTATCTCCGCTGAAAGTTGATTCCAAGCTTCCACTACACTTTCTGTGAAGTAATATGTTCTAATATTACTTTTGAACTCCTCTCCTGTTGGTTTGAGGTTATGCCCCTGTGTTCTTGATTTTTGCTTAATATTGAAAATACTGCCTTCTAGAACCTTATTCACATTCTTACTATATTTAAAGGATTCAATCATGTCACCCTTTCCCTTCTATTCTTCAGGCTGTACATATTCAATTCCTGCAATCTCTCCTAATAGGTTTTGTCCTTCAGAACTTGCACCATTTCTGTTGCCTGTTTCTGGACTCACTCAATCTTATCAGTAGCTTTTTTAAGTGAGGTCTCCAGAACTGGACACAATATTCCAAATGTCCAAGTTCGTTGCCTGGGCCAGTTTACACATTATTTTCTGTCTCCCTCATAAGACATATGTGTGTGTGTGTGTGTGTGTGTGTATGTATTTTCTATCGATGCAACCTGGTCTACCCAAATATGGGAAGGAGCATACTGCTTCCTTTTCGCCTTTCAGCCCCAATCCAGGAGCCCTTAGGCAGTCGCTTTCACGACAAACTATTTTGTGTTAATATATATAAAGTATTAAAATTCTGCTGCTGAAATCTTAATTCCTTGTATTTTTTAAAAAATTATAGCACATGAGAACTGTTAAGATTGAATGCAGTATATACTGAATATAGCTCCAGACCCTTCTTTGGTTTCATCTGTGGATCTGCCCTTTTATAGATGCCATGGTTAAGTATTGTTCCATTGCTATTACATAATGACAAATATTTCTTTTTTAATGCATTGGAAAATACATTGCTGATTTAGCTTTCTCCCATGGAAAACAATTGCAAATGCTCGTTTATTATTAGCAGTTATTTGCAAATCAACAAAGACCATGTTTGGAAGTCAAATTTGAATAAGCTTCAATGTCAAGGTTTTGTATTCCTCTAATGTAGTTGCAAACAGAAGTCTTTGCTTCCCTTTTCTGTCACCCACACTGACAAATTTTGTTTAGTATAGTTAAGATAACACAATATAAGGATGAAACAGTGAACAGAAATTAACAGAAAGTGGAATGCTTTAATAACCATATTGGAGAATGCTGGTTTAATATGACATGAGAACATAGCCAAGGCATCTTGTATTACTTTACAGATAGCAGATCATATAATATGACATTAATTTACATTTACTCATACTAATATGCTCTGGTTGCGTATATGTATGACAATCATAAATATACAATAGCAATAGCACTTAGACTTATATACTGCTTCATAGTGCTTTACAGCCCTTTCTAAGTAGTTTATAGAGTAGGCATATTGCCACCAACAATCTGGGTCCTCATTTTATCGACCTTGGAAGGATGGAAGGCTGAGTCAACCTTGAGCCGATCAGGATCAAACTGCCGGCAGTCAGCAGAATTAGCCTGCAATACTGCAGTCTAACCACTGCACCACTACAGTCTATAGCAGCAGTCACCAGCTGGTGGTCCACGAGAAAATTTGGTGGTCCGCAGAAAAATTATTTGCATTTTTTATATTGCACTAAATCAGGGGTCCTCAAACTACCGCCCCTGGAACAGATACGTGTAATGAACATTTGTGTTGCTGCAGAGAATCTCCCCCTTTGGGGTCTTTTTGTGTGGGTTGGAGCGGGGCAGAAATTCCGACTTGGGGTCTGCTTAAGCCTCCTGGTGTGGGGCTTTGGGCGAAGGCTGGAGGGAAGTGGTGCTGGTGGCGAAGAGCCGGAGGACCTTGTTCCAGTGGGACTGCATCATGGCCTGGAACTTTGCTGATCATCTCAGCCCACTGAGCCTCCAGGCACCTGTTCCTGGCCTTGCACTCCCGCAGGTCTTCCCTCTGCTTGGAAAGCCTATGCTCACAGTCCTCAGTGAGGTGCTTCTACTGAGCCTCCTTCTCGGTCAGATCCAATTTGAACTGACCTGTTTTGTCAACTCTTTCTCATGGTGGCTGCTTAGTTCCAACTGCTTCCTATTGGGGCCCTAAGGAGGCCGGGCAGGGAGGGGAGGAGTGGCTGAGAGGGGAGGGGTGAGTAGAGGCTGGCAAAGCATCCTTCTCTGTGAGTAACATCGAGTTGGCCATGCCTATCCAGTCACATGACCACGAGCCACGGCCATCAAGCCAGTCATTAGGCAGATCATATTAGTGGTCCGCGGGATTTAAAATTATGAGTTTAGTGGTCCCTGAGGTCCGAAAGGTTGGTGACCCCTGGTCTATAGTATGTTCTTACAGTTTAAATCATGACATTATGATTTTACATCAACCTTAAAGTACACAGCTAAATAAAAAACACTATCCTACTGTAAAACACTTTCTGATCCAAATTAACAGTGAATCTAGTTATGAAAAATAGGAATAGAAAATAGTAAATACAAAACTCAGTTGACACACTGTACTAAAATTGAGTTTTTAATCAAACTCTGAGATGTAAATGCTATATAACTCACAAAACTTATTTCTGTGACAGAAGAAAACCCCCAGGAGTAGCAAAATGGCAATTTTGGTGGCACAAATAATGTTCTGTATTTCTAAACGATTCAGTCCTAAAAAGGTGCATTTATCTGAGCTTTTTAAGGCTAGGAGACCTGGGCTGCAGGAGTCAACTCTAGACAACCATTAGATAAAACACAGAGACAGAAAAACTCTACTCCCCCAAAGCGGTGATCTAATTTCACATACCTATTATGAGAAACTTCCCCTAAAACATTTCTGCCAATTGATCCTGCCCAATCTGATCACTTTAATATCCCCTGCATATTTGGAGCTGAGAATATTGATTTAAAAAAGGATCTTCTAGATTCCCCCAAATCTCACTATTCCCACATTAAGCATTCCAAAACTGTGTTCCATAATCAACTCTCAGAAAGTGTGTCTCCCCACCTATCCCAAAAAAGTTGTAGAAAACCAGGAAAAGTAGCTGCAACATGCCTTTGTAGGGAAACCAATGGACTCTTGTGCCTATTCAATCATAGGGTCAGAAGGGACCTTGGAGGTCTTTTAGTCCAACCCCTGACCAAGACAGGAGTCCTCAAAGCATCTTGGACAAATGATCATCCAATCTATTCTAGAAAACCGCCAGCAATGGTTCCCCTGCTTAATCGTTGTCACTGTCAAGAAATTCCTCCTTACTTCCAAGTTGGATCTCCCTCTGACGAACTTCCATCCATTGCTTCTTATCCTGCCCTCAGGTGATATGGAGAATAAATGGATGCCCTCTTCCCTATGGCAACCCTTCAAGTATTGGAAGACTGCTATCACGTCTCCTCTCAATCTTCTCTTCCTTAACCTAAGCATACCTAGTTCCTTTAGCTGTTCTTCATAGAATTTAGTGTCCAGATTACTTGTCATTTTTGTTGCTCTTCTCTGCAGGGTCTCAACATCTTTTTTTTTTTTTAAGTGTTGAGTCAGTGTGGATTTCTGGCAGAAATGAAAGAAGTTGCGATATGGAAGCTGTCACCCAGGAAAAGAGTAGCTGGCTAAACTGAAACCAAGTCCATTTTCAACCGCTGAAGAGTGCTGCAGGTGACTCTTTCAGCTTCTTACAGCTGCAATTCCCAATCAATCTACAACCCACCCACCCACCCCGCACACACTTAGGATATTCAGGACCATTTTCAGGGTTAGGCAAGTTTTAGCTCGATATTTAAGCTGACACTGTTGAGCAACATGAAGGCGACAGAGTTATGTGAAAGATTGCTCTTCCCTGATTACATCTACCTGTCGCACTAGATCAGAGGTGGGTTTCAAATTTTTTTACTACCGGTTCTGTGGGTGTGGCTTGGTGGGCGTGGCTTGGTGGGTGTGGCAGGGGAAGGATACTGTAAAATCTTCATTCTCTCCCTACTCCAGGGGAAGGTTCCTGCAAAATCCCCATTTCCTCCTGATCAGTTGGGACTCAGAAGGCAGAGAATAGATGGGGGTGGGGCCAGAGGTGGGTTTCAGCAGGTTCTGACCAATTCTGGAGAACGGTAGCGGAAATTTTGAGTAGTTCAGAGAATCGGTAGTAAAAATTCTGACTGGCTCCGCCCCCATCTATTCTTTGCCTCCCAAGTACCAGCTGATTGGGAGGAAATGGGGATTTTGCAGTAACCTTTCCCTGGATTGGGGAGGGAATGGAGATTTTACAGTATCCTTCCCCTGGAGTGGGGTGGGAATGGAGATTTTACAGTATCCTTCCCCTGCCATGCCCACCAAGCCATGCCACGCCCCACCAAGCCACACCCACAGAACCGGTAGTAAAAAAAATGAAAACCACCACTGGGCGGGGCCAGTCAGGGTTGGTATTTACCGGTTCTCCAAACTACTCAAAATTTCCTCTACCGGTTCTCCAGAACTGGTCAGAACCTGCTGAAATCCACCTCTGCACTAGATCCAGAAGAAAGGGCATGGGTTCCATCGGCTAGGGAGCGACATTTGGTGGGCCCTAGGCAGCAGGCCTTTTCTGCTCTTACACATGTTATGGAATATCTTCCACCCTTGAAGTGAGGTTGGTTTCATTACTTTTGACATTCTGAAGTCCCTCAAGACCTGGTTGTGCCATCAGCTCTGAAAACTTCAGGGGACCAGTGAATTATTGACATGGCTTTGTTATTATTAATAATCCTTTGCCCAATAATTCCTCTTTTTAGTTTCATTTTTATAGTTAGCAATGTTTTAATGATAATAATAATAAAAATAGTGGTTGCGGTTTAGCATTCACTATTTCCTAGCTTTGTTGTACTCTGTCTGAAGTCACTTGTTTTGTATAAATTTGATATAAATATAAACAAATATAAACAAATAAAAAGGTTACTGAACTAATTCCTGGGGGAAAATATCTGCTAAAACAGTCAATTATACAGTAGCTTTGACTACTCAACAGTTTGAATTAACAGAAGGGCAGAGAAGATGCTTGTCATATCTAATCATCTCCTGAGTGACTGTTACCAGAATTGTAACAAAGAAGAAATCAGACACAATCTGGCAATAATTAGGGAGAGTTAAGGATGAGACGGTGGGTCCCCCCCCCCGCCCCTTGCTATTTCCTCTTCCAAGTAAGGAGGGCTTTTTCCTAGTTTGTGATGGCTTCTTAGCTGCTAGACCCTCTGAGTCAGCATTTCCAGGAACTCCATGTAACCTAGTTTGGGCTTTCTCAGCTGAGTTGGTGGACAGATCTTAAATAGGTCCCTGTGCCTTTAAATAGCTTGCATAGCATTGCTGGTCAGTGGTGCACACTCAGCTCATCTCTTTCCTATGCCAATGTTTCTAAAAAAATCAAGAGGGTGCCACCAGATGCAAATATCTTTTCTTCCTAAAAAATGCTAATTCCTCATAGCGCTAAGTTATAAGCAACGGCTTAGCAAACCAGAAACCACGCAATTATGGTAGCGAGTTACAGTTCTTGGTTGAGTATGATTTATGTCACTATGTTTACTTTCTTTTCTTTTTTCTTTGAGATGAAGGTGATGATGGAACATCATCAATTGTTCCCGTCTCATGTTCTATTGCAATAAATCTTCCATGATCTTTCCATTTCAATGTGTCAATATAACAGCCTGAATTTGGATCCTTACATATTTTCTACCCTACTGTTTTTTCATTGCATCCTTCCTTATACCCATTCCAAATATTTTGGCTGCTCTATTATAATATTGTATTCCAGAGTTCTGTTGCAATATATATGCTGATATCTGAAGCAAAACCTATAATAGCCAGCCCTGTGAACACACCTTGTACAAATTAGTGTAAGGGGAGGGGGTGCTCCAAGGGAGAAGCATTTGGTGGTAATCTCTAGACATGCTCTGTGCATCTTTTCCCTGCCTCAAAATCACAACTGCCATATGAGCAAGAGTCCACCTCAAATATATGAAGGCATCATCCTTCCATACAAAGACAGTATTTGGTACGGCACAGAAAATTAGGCTCCACTACTCAATTTTAACAAAAGGCTTATTTTAATGCTAAGGACAGTGAAGCGATAAATTGACATGTAGTTTTCAACACGACAAGCCAAATGCAAGACTCCCTTTCATTAAATCTCCCAAATTAAATCTCTCCATCTGGTAGAATTCAACCGGGTTTCTCTTTTTCAATCTACATTTATAGGTAACTTCCCCCTCTCTGTATATACCTAGGAAAAATGTTATTTCGATACTGAATAGGAAAGATGAGAAGATAAGCAGGGAAAAAACCCCACACAACACATTTCCAAATGAAAAACATTAGCCTATTTTGCAATTCAAAAAAAAAGTATGCAAGCAGTTATATAAAACGTCTGCACACCTGCTCCCAAATGCTAGTGAACAAAGGAAGGATGAAATCAAGGGACAATGAATACTACTGCAGATAGTAAAACCACCAATGCTCCCCCACACCTAAAGCTATATAAGAGTAAAGTCCCATGGATCTTTGGACAAGTCATTTTGTACCTAAGATGGTTTACTCCTATCCTTAGTGGGGGAGGGGGGGAAGGGGGGGGTGAAAAAATAAAAAAAATGTCCCTCTCTGTCCCAAATTTGCACATAACTACACAAATCCATACATCCTCTGAAACCAATATCCCTAGTTATTATGAAACATTAAAAAAATAAACACAAAAATTCTTTAGAAAGACCCCAAGCTTTCCCTCAGTTTTTACTGATACACAGTTCAAACCTCAACATTTAAATCTGTTTCCTTCTCTGCTAGTGAAAAGAAAATACCATTCTATTTTGCCCTGCTCCAAAGAAATACAGTAGTCTGTTCTCCAGCACATTTTAAACAGGGTTTTTCAACCTTAGCAACTTTAACATGTGTGGACTTCAACTCCCAGAATTCCTCAGCTAGCATGCTCTATATAGTTTAACAGTGGCAAAAAAAAAGTGAGTAAAAGAAACTGGAGTGACTTACGAGTCTGGAATTCATTTTGTTGGTATCATCTTCAGGCATGGGGAGATAGATGGCCAGTGCAATACAGTTGGCAAAGATAGTTAATAGGATGATGGTCTCAAAGGGCCTAAAGATGCTTGTTAAGGAACATTGGGTTAGATTGTATAGTTTGTGGCAAAGACTGTAATAATAGGAACAACAATAAATAATAGAAATAATAATGATATATTAGTCCATCTTTCCACAATCTAGTGCTTACCACTTAGGTCAGCTGTTCTTGCTGAGGATTCTGGAAACTGTACTTTAAATATTTGGATGAAAGAATGGGTACAAAAGTCTACTTTGGCATGCATGTTAGACTATATGTTGGTTGATAACAAACACTTATTAATGAGGATTTGTAGACTGAGCAAAAGGACACATGCAGAAGACAGTAAGTACAGGTAGTTCATTTAGTGACTGTTAAAAGTTACAACGGCACTGAAAAAAGTGACTTATGACCATTTTTCACACTTATGACCTTTGCAGCATCCCCATGGTCATGTGATTTACATTCAGAGGCTTGGCAACTGACTCACATTTATGACGGTTACAATGTCCCTGAGTTATGTGATCTCCTTTACAACCTTCTGACAAGCAAAGTCAGTGAGGAAGCCAGATTCACTGAACAACCGTGCGACTAATTGAAGAACTGCAGGGATTCACTTAACAAATAAGGTGAGAAAAGTCGTAAAATGGAGCAAAGTTACTCAACAAATTTCTCACTTAACAACATAAATTTTGGGCTCAATTGTGGACGTACATTGAGGACTAGCTGTATAGCAATATTCTCTATTGAATGCTATTGCATAAAACTCTTCTCTTTTTCCATATTTAGGTGAAAAAATAAAGACTAACTTGAATTGAACTCAACAGCTGGTGACTTCACAGACACAACCATATAGTTTCTTTGGCAACCATACATAAGACAGTTGCCATTGATTTTTCCCAGGATGTTTTGGGAACTTCCCAGTCTGGTCTGCAGCTGGGAGATTTTTAGTGGTTCCCCCATCCAAATTATAATCCTGTTTTACCCTGCTTAGCTTTGCAAGGGATTATCCAATTAAGAGCTAGGGCACTTAATTGGCTTTTGTTTTAAACTATCTTTAAATTAAATTATACATAATATATTGTGAAAATGATACTGTGGAAAGAGTGTCCTAGTTAGCACTCAGAGGTATGATGATCCTTGGCTACACTGGAACCCAACACACTTTATGCTGGCAACACTCTGAAAGGTTACTTTCCTGGCTGGAGCAAAAGCAATATCTAATCTATGATAAAACATTTTCTGAGTGTGACATAGTTTATTAGCTGCAGGCATGTGAGGGTCTTTGAAATGCATATAATGTAACTTGATGCAAAAGGCTTCCTCTAATTTTCTTTTACTCTCACACACATTTCACTGTCCCCTTATCTGTTTGTCATGAGAAAACTCTTGGCTTTAGGGGTGATAAATGTGCTTTCTATCCACATCAAAGAGGTTAAAAACTCTGGTGGACCTGCCCAGTGGTGAAGAAATTCTGGGCGAAAGTTAAAAAGTGGATAGAGGAAATAATTCAGAATTCAATAAAGGGAGAACTTGAGCAGTTTCTCCTAGGGATTTCCATAGAAAACTATACTAAGGAAATATATTATTTAATATTACATATACTGATAGCAGCCCGCATAGTCTATGCGCAAAATTAGAAGAAGGAAAACTTACAATCAGAAGAAGATTTAATTAGGAAAATCTTAGAGTGCGCAGAGATGGACAAATTAACAAAAGAAATAAAGGAGAAAGAGGATACAGAATATTACAAAGTGTGGTGTAGATGGTATGAATAGTTGGAGAATAGGAAAAATGAGAAAGAGGAATAAAGGAGAGAGGAGAGAAAAAATGTTGAAGATCAAAGTACAATCTAGAAGAAAGAAAGAATGATGGAAAATAAATTGTTGAATAAGATAAAGTTAAAATATGTGTGAATAGATGTAAATAGTAAGAAAGGATCACTTCGAAGTAGCTGTAGGGAAAAGTGATATGTATATAAATGTTGTGTGTTTGTGTCTTGTTTTTAATGTTTTCAAAATAAAAAACTTAAAAAAAACAAAAAAAACAAAGAGGTTAAAAACTCATTCCTAGCCCAGAGACTCAACATGGTGCACAGACTAGGTATATTATAACATAAGTACACAAGGTAAATAGTGAGGCGAATCCAACAATAAATGAAATGGTGACTGATAGGGCTTCAGTGCATTCTCAAATGTGAGTCTAAATTTGCTTAATACCGTAGCTGTTGTCACATTTATAATATGTGGTGGTTGCTTTCCACAAATGTTCTGACTGTGACTCCAAACAATCTCAGCCAGCAAGGTTATGACTGATAGATTCATAGTTAAGCATCAGATTGCGACTATATAAAAATGATGTTAAAAACATTAAATGACATGGTTACATGGTTAAATAAGCATTTCCCCCCTCACAACTCTTTCATTTAACATGACTCTACATAGTTGTTTTTTGATATGCAAGAAAAGATTTCACTATTTAATTTTAGGCAGCTCTCGGTGTCATTTAGCTTTCTATGAAGAAAGAAAAGAGAAATTCTGAGAAACTAAGATATAGCAGCTTGTGGTGTTGCCATGCGAGCTATTAATATATGTCAAAAATCACTCAGAAACAGAAATTATGACCAACTAATTTGGCTTCCGAATGCCAGGTGGCTATTATTTAATTTAATTTAATTTAATTTAATTTATCGCATTTCTATGCCGCCCAACTCCCAAGGGATTTGGGAAAAGTTAAAAGTTAAACTCTCTTTAGAAGTTAAACTCTCCTTTTTTTCTACAATTGAGAAATAATAAAAAGAACTTCAATGTGTGTGTATGTGTATAGAGATAGAGATATACAGTAGTCCTCGACTTACAACCACAATGGAGCCCAAAATTTCTGCTGTTAAGTGAGACATTTGTTAAGTGAGTTTTGCCCCATTTTACAACCTTTCTTGCCACAGTTGTTAAGTGAATCACTGCAGTTGATAAATTAGTAATCCAGTTGTTAGGTGAATCTGGTTTCCCCATTAACTTTGCTTGTCAGAAGGTAACAAAAGGAGATCACATGACCTTGGGAGACAGCAATGGTCATAAATATGAACCAGGTGACAAACATCTGAATCTTGATCACATGATTATGGGGATCTGCAAAGGTCGTAACTCTGAAAAACAGTCATAAGTCATTTATTTCAGTGTGTTGTAACTTTGAATGGTCACTAAATGGACGACATAGATATAGACATAGACATAGATATAGACATACACATACACATACACATACACATACACATATATGAACTAAGGGAGACCACAAGGAAATCCCAGGCTCATTGGCATTGGCTAGAAATCTTGCAAGTCAATGATGGGAAATCACTGTTGTAGGGATTTCATGAAATTACATGGATGGGTTCATGTAAGCATCGGGAGCTTAATTCAAGGAACTTTTTACTTTAAGTAATATGAAATATTATATTTTCCTCAATAAGGAATATTATCCTTCAATAAAAAAGAGAAAGAATAAGCAACTGACCTTTCAAGGATAAGAAAATAATTTACATCCTAGCGAATCCTGAAAATGCTGATTAAATAAAACACAAACAATGGCAAGGAAAGGAATTGATTGACGGAAAAAATAAGAAAGGAGGAAGAATGGAATAAGCATTAGAAGGACATTGCCCCAAATGGATGGATAGATCAACATATAGAACATAAATTATTGTTCTGGTCTCAGATTTTTTGATTTATTCTTACCAAGTTCAATGCCATAAACTGGACCTTAGAGAAATAAGGAAAGTCAAACAGAAATTGAAAATACGAAGGTGAGAAATAGCATTTGCATTAGCCTGGGGAAGAAGCAATTGTTCAATTACATAAGAAATAAATAGTTTGTAAGAAGCAACCATATGAAATGTGAACACTAAAATTATTGCCATGTTGTATGTAATATATATTTTCAATTTAAAACTACTCAGTTTATAAATTGGAGTCCCTCTCCAAAAACCATCAGTGACCAAAACCAAAGGAATCGGGGTGTACCTCCCTTTAAAAGAGGCAACATTATACCCACAGAATGAGCTCTAAGATTAGATTCTACATTCAGTGCAAACTGATTGCTTGCATGAAGAATGAAGACTAGGCACTATATCCATATGGCTAAATTAGGAGAAGAGATGTGTTAGAGTTAATTAGTAAAATGATGGACAGTGAAAGCACCAAGCAGCTGTGATAAAGAGAGAAACAGAGACATATACAGCTGGTGTGTGTGTGAGATGCACAAATACTTTGAGACAGGGCTCCAGACAAGGCATTTATCAGGCTATTGTCTCGCCTTTTTAAGGTTTATAGTATTTGCATCTGCTCTTCTGGTTGATCCTAAAGACAAACATCACTGCCATCCATTTAGAATTCCCTGGATAATATTTGTTTAATCTTTTATATTTCTACAGAAATATAATCCTTACAGGCAAAAAGAGTATTTGCTGAGCTGTTGAATTATTTCAAAGATCTTGTATTAGTACTGCTGCTTTCTTTTGGTTAAGTCCCAAAATTTCTGCCCACAGTTTCAGGCATGTGATATGTATGGCTGAATTCAAATCAAGATATGCAGCAGGATTAGTTGATCGGTATTACAGGTAGTCCTCGACTTACAACAGTTCATTTAGTGACCATTCAAAGTTAAAATGCTACTGCAAAAAATGACTTATGACCATTTTTCACTCTTATGACCATTGCAGCATCCTCATGGTCATGTCAGCTTGGCAATTGTTTCATATTTATGGCGCTTGCAGTGTCCCAAGATCGTGTAATCATCTTTTGAGACCTTCTGACAAGCGAAGTCAATGGGGAAGCCAGTGTCTCACTTAGCAAGAGAAATTTTGGGCTCAGTTATGGTCATAAGTTAAGGACTACTTGTACATTTAAAATTCTTACATAGCCCTCTTGAACTACTTGAAGCATTTCAAATTAGTCTAGCAGAGATAGGCAACCTCATGCCCCAGTGTATACTGGCTAGGTATACCTCATTTAGGAATAGCTACATTCTCTCCCTCACTTTTCATTAAATTGTAGAACAAAGCACCACTTTACTTTCGGCATCGTCTTTATTTCCCAGGTTGCTTTAGAGCTCCATATTGGCTCTTACAGGCATTATTAGAAAAAAGGGACATAAACTGGGAAATCGCATTTCTTGGAAGACTAGAATTAAGAACACAGACAAATATGATCAAAATGTCTTCCAATAAATAGATGGTATTTTATAACTGACAGTTGCTACCATGACAGCCATTTCGTGAAGGCCTAAGAGTTTCCCCTCTAAAGTCACAGATGCTCTCAAAATTCCAGATGTATCCAGCAAGCCCCAAATCCAAGAAAGTTCTATACCTGTGAAAAATATAATTATGGACCTTGGCCTTATTATTTTACCAATGCCTGGCAAGAAGTAAACTTTAGATAGCCATATGCATGACTCTAGCTGTGAAGGGTCTCATTTCATTTTTTCTTTATGTATTCCCATCTGTAAACATTATTTTAGAAAGAAGAAAGAATACCATGGTGACCAGCATTAGCGCCAATGATCTTGGCACGTTCAAACTTGCTCAGATGCTGTTATCAAAACTGTTTATCATGGCATCAATCTATTGTCACTCTCTAGCCATTAGCAGAGTCACTATTTGAAATATGGTGGGTTTGCACATTACACTAAGTCAAGGGTGGGCAACATTTGAAGGGCAGGGCTACAAGAGGGGTAGGGCTACAAGAGGCCATTATGGTGCTAGGATAGGGCTGAGATGTGGGGGGGGGAGATCATTACAACTATGATCTTCAACAGGAGTCTAGAAAGGGATTGGGGAACTAGGGTGGAAATCAGGAAGGAAAGAAGGAATGTGTAATATGAACAAGGAATAACCTAGTTTATTTATTTCCTGCTTTTATTATTTTGATAAATAATTCAAATGAGTTATTAACACACCTAATACTCCTTTCTCCTTCTATTTTCCCCATGACAGCAACCCTATGAAGTGATTGGGTTGAAAGAGAGTCACTGACCCAAAGTCACTCAGCTGGTTTCATGCCCAAAGGGATAGTACTATAACTCACAATCTCCTGCTTTTTAGACTGGTGCCTTAACCATTTCATCAAACTGGCTCTATATATTCATATTCCCAGTTGCTGTCTAAGACCTGCAGCTAATTTGCCAAAAATTTCCAATATCTCTTTCCTTACAGACTCATTTGCGGCAGTTTTCCAGGTGATGAAATTTTTGCTGTTGGTTATCCATGGCAGGGCCAAGATTTATATATTTCTTTCAGAGAAGAACTGAACAATTCTCCACTTTCCCACAGCACATGCCTGAAACATGGCATCACTTAGAATTAGTTGCTTCAGTGTTCAGATTACAAGACAGTGTAAAGTCTGCTTGTTTTGCCACATGTTTTTATCCAAATATAAGGGAAAGGATAAAAATTCATTTTCTTTCGTGTATCCCCGTGATGGCGAACCTATGGCAAGCGTGCCCAAAGTAGCACACGAAGCCATGTCGCCTGGCACGCGCAACCTTGCCTGTTTGTCTTCTGGGTTTCTGACGTGCATGTGTGTGCGATGATCAGCTGTCTTTTGCGCACGTGGCAGTGTCAAAAACCAGTGCACATGCGCACCAGAACCTGGAAGTTTGGCTTTTCCGGAGCGTGATCCCTTTGCGCACAGCAGTGCCAAAAACCAGCCTGCGCATGCACGATGGCCAGCTGATCATCGGGCACGCATGCGCATTAGAACCCAGAAATTCAGCTTTTCCATAGTGTGGCCCTGACAAGCGCACACGCGTGCAACGCTTCCGCGCAACCCTATCAGCACTTGGTGCTGAAACGTTTTGTCATCACTGGTCTATCCATTAACTAATACAGGTAGTTCTTGACTTACAACCACAATTGAGCTCAAAATTTCTGTTGCTAAGTGAAACATTTGTTAAGTCTGTTTTGTCTCATTTTATGACTTTTCTTGCCACAGTTTTTAAGTGAATCACTGCACTTATTAAAAGCAACATGGTTGTTAAGTGAATCTGGCTTTCCCATTGACTTTGCTTGTCAGGTTACAAAAGAGGATCACATGACCCTGGGATACTGCAACCATCATAAATATGAGTCAGTTGCCAAGTATCTGAATTTTGATCACATGACCATGGGGATTCCGCAATGGTCATAAGTGTGAAAAATGGTCATAACTCACTTTTTTCAATGCTGTTGTAATTTCGAATGCTCATTAAACGAACTGTTGTAAATCGAGGATTACCTGCATTAATATTTGCCTTATTTCATTTGTTTCATTAAAATAGCTTACTGGATGTAAACTAAATTCTGTGACTCATGCCAGTATGACGATTTTTCTGATTGATAATCTGTTTTTTACATTCAGATTACAACTATGATCTTCAACAGGAGTCTAGAAAGATCACCTCATCTAAACCTCTGTCCATATACCTTATTCTTTTAACTTTAGTCTAGATACATTTCATACAATATGTCTATACAAATCCATTTTATCCAGATTATAATCCAACACAAAGAATAGGAGAGAATAAGAAACCATATCACAGAATGCTTTGTCCATTCAACAAACACGATGTGATACACGCAAATGAATCAAATTGAACATAAATTTTAAAAAAGACATTGTATGATGAACAATTAGATTTTGAATCCGAACAAAACTATCCTGCAGCCTTACAGGGAAAAAATGTTGGTGCTTTTGTAAAGAACCTTCCTGCTTAAGATTCTCTGACCCCGGCTATTATATCCTCTCAGTTATAAAATCCGTTGAGGAGGGACAGGGAGCTATTTCTGAACTCAGCGTAATTCAGTGGAGGAGCCAGACAAATTAACCATCTCGACTGCATTCAGGTCTTCTATTTCAAAATCGACATTTATGACCGCTTTAGCGAAATGAGAAATTACAACATCAGTAAATACATTATTATAGTAATTCCTGAGTTACGGATCATTTGAAGGCAGGGTCAACATAAATGCTTGAGTTCTTCCCTGTTTGTTGGTGCCTGTCTTAAAAGAGACAAAGACCAACACCTAATCTGACTCCATCCCTGCATTTCTAGAGAACATAAACAGAATTTGCCCTATAGATCGCAAAAGAGTTGCATTGTTAAACAATATTTCTCAGCCTTTCCTCTTTGCCTTTGCTTCTTCCAAGTTTCAGTTGTTTACACCTGGTTGCTGGGCCCCAGGCCAAGCACAAATCATTCCAGAAGCTACCCCCATATTCCCCCCCCCCCACAAAAGGATACTTCCATTCCACAATGGCAATGCAAGCCTTCCGCAGTGGGTTCTTGAGGGTGAGGCACAGCAAAGAGCGGGGTGGCCTGGGGGGAAGTTCCAGATCAATTTTCTTAGCCTTTTCCTTCTGCTGCTTCTTCTTCAAGCTATCTTCTTGGTCAGATGTGGGCTCCATAATAACTCTCCTCCTTGCCTCCGTGAACCAGACTTGTCTTGTCCCTTCTGCCTCTTCTTTGCCCCACAGCTAGGACCCCTTCCCCAGCCCCCTCTGAATCTCTTGCTTCAGTTGACCCAATCTTCTCAGTGTAGTGTAGGGCTGCGGGGCTGGCAGTTGCCCTCCCCCAGACACAAGTACACCAAGCATGAGTTTATAATTAGCCATTAGCCTGGCTCCCAGGGCTGTCAGATTTCCTGAGACAGCAAAAGGGCCTCAGCAGCTGTTCCTTCTTCATACTCGGTGCATTGGCATTTTTGAGCTACCAATCCAGGTCAGAGGAAAGGAGGTGGGCTTCTCTCCCATCAATCTTAAAGTCAAATGGTTTTAATTCATATTAATTCATAAATGTGGCCCTTCCCACCATGTTTTATTTTTAAAAAACATGCTAAGCAAATACTCTGAAATGGCCTCTGCCTAAAAAGCCATACCCATAGGGCAGATTTATAATGCATTTTTTTTATTAAACAGTTTTTTCCATTTTATATCACAATTTTCATCTTTGCAACACTTCAGTATCAGTATACATCCGATATACATACATTTGTGTGTGTGTGTGTGTGTGTGTGTGTGTGTGTGTGTACCTTTCAGGGATGGGTTCTACTTACCTTTATTACTGGTTCGCAACGGGATCTGCACATGCGCAGGTTGCTGATGATGACATCTGGAGCAGTGGGCAGGGCCTCCCGCCCGTTTTACTACCGGTTCTTGCGAACCGGTCCGAACCGGGGGCAACCCACCACTGGTTCCTTTATATATACTAGTATGCTATATGTACAAAATTTGTAGTTATTACTCTAAGTATTTTTTACATTTTACATTTTATAATGTATATTTTACATCTTGTCATGTCTTATCATACTATAATACTACATATTCTTCATCTATCTTTATATTTATACTTATTCCTATTTTCTAGTTCCTTGATCATCTTTCCTTATTGATTTCCTAATCTTTACATCTATTATCTAACTAGTTGTACCATACATTCCAAATCAAATAATATTCGGTTTCTCCTCTATCTTTTATTTCCATTGTCAACCTATCCATCTCAGCGCACTCTAACACTTTATCACAATTTCCTCTGATGGTATAATTCCATTTTTTCAATTTTGCGCATAAACAATTCTGGCCGCTGTTATTACATGTAGCATTAGATTCATAATGAATAGAAATTTCCCCAGAAACATCATAACTTGTGGTTATTATCATAGATTTTGACGGTTAGGACATCAAATCCAAACCCCTTGTTCCAGACAGGAACCTCTTTATTCTGGAAACAAGGCTATCCAGTCTCTGAACTGGGAACCCACTACCATTTCAGAGCTGAAGAAGCTTCTTGGATGAGAAGAGAAACATGTTCAAAGAAAAACCAGAAAGTCCACTTGTACCTTGAAAATCCACCTTTGGGACAACCACTATCTGGATGACTGAGAATCTCCATAGACATCTACCACTTTGGATAATTTGGATCTCACCACTGGTCTAGAGTTAGATTTCTCCTCTGCTACTAACACCAACTGAAACAGATTCTGAAGACCTTTCCCCTCCACCCCACTTCTCAATTCTCTAACCTGGCACAGAAGGATACAGTGATTGATGATACTTAAAACCGCTGAGAGATCAAGGTGAACCACTATTCCCATCCGAGTCCTGCCCAATATTACAGTTGGTGCAGAATGCTACAGTGTGAGCAGTTATGTGCAGATCTCCTATGCCCATGAAACATTTCTGCTTCATAAGCTGCACTGGTTACCAATAGCTTCCAGGTACAATTCATGATGTTAGTTATCACTTATCAAGTGCAACATTGCATAGGGCTTGGTTATATGAGGGATTTCTGTTCATCCTATATAATTGGCATGATCTGGTTCCTATTGGATAAACAGTACCATTTAATGGGATCCAGGAAATGTTCCTTCTCTGTTGCATCCCCCCCTTTGGAATAGCATCCCCCCAAAATCTGAACTGCCTCTATCCTAGTTGTCCTTAAACAAGTCCTGAAAACCAGACACTTTTCCCAGGTCTTGGGATAGGATGGTTGTCAGGTAGGTTCCTTTAGGCTAAAAGTTGTATGGGAAGACGGTTTTTATTGTTCTCTCTGGGTTGCTATCATTTTTTCCTGATATTGTGAGGCATCTTGCCTTTTTTTTTTTTTTGTAAACTGTCCAGAATAATTCTGAACCTGGCAGCCTTAGAAATATGTTTTATATACAAGCAAGCAAATTTTATGCATTAATAGGAACTTATGTAATGCATACTTTCAAGACAAATCCCATCATTTTCTGGTTCCCAGGAACATGAGATATGGTTGCTGCTTTTAAATTACTTAATGTAATCTGGAATGAAACTTCTACTACAAAATTTTGAAGTAGTTTGATACATATTGGGCATGTGACATATATCATGTGCTTCTTATTTCCCATCAATTTTACTGAAACTTCAATATAAAAAGGAACAAAGAAACCAATATTAGGCTAAGTCTGTTTGCTTTTTGGTGCCAAGAAGAGTAAAAAGAAGGAAGCAAATAATATTCTATCCCAGAAATGTGGCCTTCTGAACTCTGGAGGAAATTATTTATTGGGGGCTGAAAAGGACATGACCTTCCATGCCAACTTCTAATTTGTGGATTTATTCCCAACAGAAATTTAAAACCTTTATAGTGTGCCTAAGTCTGAATGGACACATGTGTTCCTTACTTGCTAGTGATATCTAAAGAGAACTCCCATGTTCTAAATAGATTAATCACCCAATGTTTGCTATGATTTGCCCAAAGTGACGTCTTCTGTGATGGGATTACAAATATAATATTCCTGGATGGTGTACTCTGGAAAGACACATTCACTCTCATTTCAAATGTCTCAAATACTTTTCAATAGAGGCTGTTCTTTGATTATTCTGTGACTTATTTAGTCATAGAATGTCAAATGACAAATTGGATGGGTGGGTGTATGTATACCCTCTGGTTAATAAGACGGCTTGTTTGCTATAAAGGTAAATTACTGGTCCTATATCAACTCCTTCTACTAGGGAGACTGACATTTGATTCAAATATAAACCAGTCTCTTACTTTCTAATGAAATGCTGACTGGTTCACTGACATGTTGATGCTGATGATCACATCAGTGATAGAAATAATTATATATAGCTCTCACAGTGTTCAATACACTTTGCAAGAATTAATTCATCCTGAGAATAATGCTTTAAAATAGGTCAATATTTTTATGACAGTATTACAAGGAAAAGGGCTGAGATACTGATAGCTTGTCAAAGGCAGATTAGTGAGCTTGTAACAAAGATAAAATCGGAGGAAACAGAAAGGGGTTTTTCAGCAACTGTTTGTGTAAAATGTCAAAGCAAGAGTATCTGCAAGGGGTGATGAAATTAAGATGGCATCTACAACAATGTGACCAAAGTGCTACCTATTTTTTTGTGTGCCTTGTGGTTGCCATCTTAACTTCTTTTTTAACCACACTCAGTGTTCCAATAAAGAGAAGAGCTACAAGCATAATAAGGCTAGTTAAGGTAGTTTGAAATAACTGAATTATCTAAAACAGAGGGGGTCTCAAAGGTCCAATTGAAAATAGGTTGGTCCAACATTGATGGATCTGGTTGTTCTTTTGGTTTTGGGTCATGAATGGGGTGGGAGTGATAGGATCAAAAGGTACATTTGGAACCTTGAGGAACAATTGTTCCCCAAAATAATTCTTCCATTTTTTTTTTTAAAAGTCACCTCAATTTGGAGAGTTAAGGTGTTCCAGGTTTTTGGAATGTCACAAGTACTTTAAGCCCTCAAATGACTTTATGTACATGTTTCATCTCTTAAAACTGTCTGCCTCCTCTGAAAATAAATTCTCAGGCTTTCTCACTTTAGGAAACTAGTCAGAAAGCTGAAGGAACTTGGGGACTTATAAACTAGGTGCTGGGACCACATGAAATGAGCATGAAACATAAGAACATTAATTCTATACTCTAAATTCACTAGCTGTATTATTGCTTTTTATTTCACACCCACAGGCTAAAACAAATGAAATGTTCAGGCCAGGGGTGGGTTCTACTTACCTTTACTACCGGTTTGCAACAGGATTGTGCGCGCATATTCGCTTTGCTCACGCACGCGCCTTGCTTCTGTGCATGCGCAGATTGCTTCTGATGACATCAGGGTCAGTGGGCAGAGCCTCCCACCGGTTTTACTACCGGTTCTATAGAACTGGTCCGAACCGGGGGCAACCCGCCACTGGTTCAGGCACTATATGCTTGCAAATTAGTTGATGCAAGACACCCTTACAGCTGAATTTGCTTCTGAGCAGTACTGCTTCAGAATATTTCAAATAATTTTGTGTTCCCTTCCTCTGGCTTTTTGCCCCCTTTCTCTTGCCAAATCTATGAGGATATGTCATGTTTGCTCCCTCTGCCAAAAAAAGACCTAGGAACAGAACCAAGAAAAACTACTCTTTCCCACATTGAATTACACTGTACTACACAACATATTATGCTCCGGAGCACAACATAGTGTGATCATTTCATCACCACTGAATGGACTGTGTGGGCAGTTTCCCTGCAAAAGTGCCAGTAGCCTCAGACCGATAGTCCTACGAGTGGAACAACCATGGGCATTTTGATTGGCAGCCAGATGCATGAGATGCAGAGTGGAGGAACTTACAGCTGTTCTAGTCTATCACCTTGTAGCAAGAGGGGAATCTCTATTTTAAAAGGGTGAAAATTCTGCCCTTGACCTGCATGTTGTGCAGAACAGCGATCATCGTCTCTAGAATCTCCAAAATCAGGAGCAAATGTGAAAATGGGGTAACTCTGCAGAGCGTTTCCTCAATTCATTTGCCAGGTAAATACTCTTAAATCATTCAATCCCTGTGGGTACACCCAGTGTGATGTCAACCCAAACACTTCTATCCTGATAAATTTGCTTGCAAGGTCTCTGTTATTTATAAAGAGCCCTTCCCCACTGCATGTTATTCTGGGCAATTTTTAGCCCTAAGGGAGATTATCAGGATGGATTGGTCTGTGGTTTTCATTAATGAACAGATCTCACAATCAATCAGAAGAATATGGACTATAATTTGGAGCATCTGTTCAGACCAAGATGATATCTTACGGGGCTACACGTAGCAAAACGAGATTGGAG